TATAATATTATTATAATATATAATAAATTTAAAATAGGTATAAAATAGCTTTATACCTTTTTATTAGTTTAATTATTAATTATATTAAAATAATTCTAATAAGTTAAAAGGAAGTATAAATATAATTTAATAAAGTAATATTAAATAGCTATAATATTAATATAAAATTTAAATAAATTAAATTAAAGTTTTACTTTATTATTATTTATAGCTTAAATGTTATTAATAATTATTTTAAGTATAAATGTTTATTAATTCTATTTAAGGAGTTTAATAAAGCGGATAATTTTAAAAGTTATTATAAATAAAAGTTAAATTTAAATAAATAATAATTTATATATAATATAAGTATAAAAATATTAATAGGTTTATATATTTAATATACTTTAATATATTTATAATAATTAATAAAGCTAAATTTATTAAATAAATAATTAAGTTTAAATAAAAAATTAAAATTAAATTAATATATATATTTAATATATTTAATATAACTATAATATATTAATATAAATAATATAGCTATAAGGTTAATATATTTATTATAACGTTAATTTTTTATCTTTATAAATTATTTATATTTTTTTTAGGGGTTTTTACCTTTAATATTTAAGTTACCCCTATAGCTTGAATGATTATTAGGTGGAGGGTTAATAGATTTGTTGTAGCTTTAGCTTAAACTACCCTTTTTGTGGTTATCGTTGTTGTTGTTGCCGCCTGGTGGCGGTGTTGGTGGTGCTAGCGGTGGCGGCGTAAGTATTTTGTTATTAACGCGTTTTTCGTTTATATCCTTATTGTGTTTGGATAGCGGTGGTGGTAGTAATGCTTTACCCTTACCGTTATAGGTAATGCGGTTATTTTTTAGGGCTTGGGCTTTACCTTTACCCTTTTTACCTTTAAAAGGTATAATTTAAACAATAGTAATAATAATACAAATATAATAAAAAAAGAAAAGGAAATAAAGTAAAGATAAAGGTAATATAATAGTTTTTAATTAAAACTAATTTTTAAAATTAATAGCAATTAAAGAAAAAAGAAAAAAAGAAAAGAAAAAGTTAATAAATAATTAATAGGAATATATATATAAATTTTATTATAAAGGTAATATATAATATATATAATTTATAATATAAATATAAGCTTAATATTTATATACTTTTATTATAATAATGCTTTATATAAATAAACTATATTAATATATTTATTATAATATTTTATATTATATATTTATATAATTGGACTTTTTATTTTATATTTAATTAATAAATTAATTATATATTAAGTTAAAAATAACTTAATTAAGGAAAAAGGAATAGTTATTATACTATAGTATTTTAAGGCCCTTATAATATATATACTTTATATATATCTTATACCCTTTTTATATATACTTTAAAGGAGATTTTTCCCTTTTTTAAGCTTTAATTTTATTAAATACCTATTATAAAATTAAAAAGATTTATAACATTATACCTAACTTTTAAAATTTAACCTACCTATAATAACTTTAAATAAAATAATCTTAAGCTTTATATTTAAATTTATTTTAAAATTTCTTTACAAATAATAACTTAACCTAATATTTAAAATTAAAACATATAATATAATAGCTTTATTATTAATAATAATTAAAGCTTATTATAATTAATATTATTAACCTATATTTTTTAATGTTAATTAATAGGTTTTACTTAAATTATATAAAAGCTATAATATTCCTTAAGCTATTATTTTTAAAAGGAAATTAGGATAACAATTTATAAAACCTTTTAAAATCTTTAAAAGAATTAACCGCTTTATATATAAGTTAAAATTCCCCTTATACTTTAAAATCTATAACGTTATCTTTATAAATTACCTTAAGCTTATATCCCTTATAAATATATTTAAATATTATCTTCCCTTTATAAGTAAAGTATATATTAAACTTTATATATAAAAACTAGTTAATAAGGATTATTAAAAGAAAAGGTATTTATTAAAATATATAGGATTAGGATTTAAATATTATAAATAGGTTATTTTAATAAAATTAAAAGATAAAGTAGGAGGATTATTAATAAATTATAGATTAAAAAGACTAGCTAAATAAAAGGTTTAGCTTAGGAAAAGCTAATTAACCCTTAAGAAAATGTAATTATCTTAGCAACGATGAGGGTATCGGCATTTTTAGCCCGGGGCACCTTGTTACCTAACCTACACTGGTTATCCCCATTATAAGTAGCATCCTGTATACAGTGGTACTACAATTAGACTACTACCACTTCTACAACTTCATACAAGCCAATACAACAGATGCAGCAGATTGCCAGGATCTTCCTACAATGGGGGATGCTACATATCATGATGTCAGCAGACGCACTCTGGGATAAGTGTGGGCTATGTAGACTGTACTTCTTCCAAACCATGACTCTGCATGGTGTTCAGGTGTTGGTAATGTGTATCCTATACCTATCACATTCTCATGGAGTCAGTCACGGAAGCGTGTAGGTACATGCCCTTCAAGCGCGGAATGTGGAAGTACCCAACATCCCACGCGGTTCCATTGTTCATCGATTTTGCCTACCTTAGGTACTTCGTAGTAGCGATCCAACCATGACAATGCTTGGCAATGACGACACCTTGGACCCCGACTTTGCGAGGGGAATTGTATTGGGTGCTCGATAGGACGTCGTTCGCGAATGCTACTGAAAAGGAAAGATCTAGATTTGGCTCCTTTTTGATTTGTAAATAGGTACTACGTGTAAGCTAAGTGAGGGATACATATGTACTTACCTAGGCCACTCGCGTTCTCTATTTGTCGCTAGATTGGACATGAATGATGTACGACAATGAGAATACGACGGTCCCAGGAAAAAAAAGTCACGAGGTGTAGGGTGTATGAAGTATGAAGAAAGGGAATTGGATTGCGGGTTTCAGCTCGGTCATTCCCCCTCCTCATTTGTACTCTACACCCCCCATACAGGCAGACGATTTGTGGTGTGAATTCGCACACAATTGGCCACGGTCTCGCGTTTATAGGCGATGGTGATATGTAGGGTGATATGTAGGGTGATATGTAGGATGATCCTGGGAGAGCCGGAATAAGAAAAAATTTAAAAATTCGACCCTCGTAATCGACAATGCCATCGATAGATCTACATCGGATTCGTATATTTTGCATGAAAATGGTAAGAATTAGCGTTCTCATCCTTATTCGAAGTACATGTTGTCTACTGAGAGACTTTTTGTGAATAGTCTAAACACGCTTATCAGTAGCTACTTGGTATAATCATGCAAGTGTCCGAAAAGAATAATCAATAAAATGTCTCGGTTTGATGCGCACTTAGGGTACACGATACCTACAATACAATCGAGATTGGCGGGTTGGGGCACGTTAGCTGGACCATCCATTGTTGCTGAATTAAGCAGGTCCTTTCCCTGTAGATAGAGGCTTAAAGTACTCGCCTACAGATCAAAGAGGGAGTGAAATATTCCTGACCTGATCTGTCAATCTCGTGTCTTTTGATACCGAAACAATCGAGAGGGGCTGGTAGATAGTGAGTGACCTGTATCTATCCATCCATCCCATCCCATCCCTCTCTCCATCCACGCTGCATCGCCCGCATCGTTCCACCTCCACCTCCGCAAGTGACTAAGAGCTTTCCCCGCGATATTTCACTTGAGACTTGACCTAGCCACCTATATACATACTTACTTATTTTCCACCCCAGATCCCTGGTTCCATCTGCCAATTCGTCCCTCCTGTCCATCGATTCTGTCATCCAGTCATTCATTAGCATCGGCATAATTCTTCAAGCTTATATCCTGCGCTTGGGCTACGGCCAGTGACATAAAGTACACCCTGCTCTTTTCAAGGCCGAGCGTTTCAAATAACCTTCAACTTACTTCAATTTACCTCACACCATCCTCCCCGCTTGCATACTATTCTTATTACCAACCAACTCTATCAACTCTATTCACCACATCCTTGGCCACATCTCCTCGGGAACACGGCAGTCAATCCAAACAAATAAACAATCCTTGGCTTTGCTGCCGCTTCACGATCCCCTCTACCCGAGCCCCTCAACGTACCGCCGCCTACGGTATCGGTATCTTGTCCTTCAGGCGACAGCCCAACCCCGCCACTTCACTGGTGAAAGCAGCCTAGGACAAGCTACCTCCTACTGTACTTCTCCCCGCCTCGACCCACTGCGCACCGCTCACTCAACACACTCACCGAGTGCTACTTCTCCAAACCTACCATCACTCTTCAAATCCATAAACATCAAAATGGCCACCGTTGAAACCAGTCCCAAGGCCATTCATGCGCCTCCCGCGCCGAGTGCGCGACGTCCTAAAGGTATGTAGATAGCCTGACTCACCCACTCCAGTCCATCGGTTCCCTCGTCCCCTTCCCTCCTCGTCTCCTTGTCTCTCTCCCTCATTACATCATCGCCAGTAGAATACTAACACAGCAGATGAAACCAGGCATCTTGAAGAACTCCTACCAAAAGTCTCCACCAGAGTCACCCGTCAAAGAAAAAGACATGTCCGAAAAAGAACTCACCATTCTCAACACCCAGACGAATGCCGGCCATCGTCGATCGTCTAGTAGCGCCAGCCGACCTGGAGGCAGCCGCCGCCGATCGTCGCGCACATTCTCCCACGGCGGAGCAGACGACCCGGCCGGCAACCAACGTCTACAATGGGACGAGGCAAATCTATACCTGACGGAACAGGAGCGCACATCGACCATGAAGATCACCGAGCCAAAGACACCCTACGCCCGACATTACGAGCCGTCAGAGGACGAAGACGACGAGATGGCCGATGGGGATCCGATATCGGGGTTTTCACTGGGCGAGCCTGAGGAGGAGATCCCTGACTCCGGGTTCGCGCGAAAGCAGAGCAAGGTTCACGTTAGCGACGAGGATGCCACGCCCCAACATGACGCTGAGCAAGACTACATCGGCATGACACCCGAGGAGAGGGAGAAGCACCGCAAATTCGAGCAGCTGAGGAAGAAGCACTACGAGATGAAGGGCGTTGCGAAATTCCTCGGCCACCCGGAAGAGCTCGACGACATGGATGAGAACGACGACCCGCCACCGATGCCTACCATTAATGGTGCCGAGGTTCGCGCTGACGACTAGCAAGGGCGCGCGAGCACCCCCGGCCTCGGAGGAGGAAGCGGAAGACAGAGACAGAGATACGGCATACTAAGGAAAGGTCGAAGGATATTCCCAGTTGAACATGGAAAGGGATGATGAACAGGGTTCTATCGCGGATGTCCTCGCGAACACCAATGCATATTATATGGAATTTGGCCAGTCGTGCCACATTACCATATTCCATATTTCCTTTTGTTTAAATTATTCCCCCCAACCCCTCTTAATTCAACGCTGGCTTGAGTCAAGGATATATGTTGCCACGTACCTTACTCGGATGAAGCAAGGAGAAGCAGACCTTACACATTCCATTCCAATGTGCGCAAATGAAAGTTTCCAAATCCCCTCTGTTCCCCGCGGTTACCTCTTTTATCAATTCATTGTACAATAGGATGATATCAAGGACCTCGCTGTCGGGTCTAAATCACAAACGAGGCTCAATGAGAAGAAAGCATAGACCGAGAGGATTCGGATTCAAATAAGTGTCCCGCCTATCTATCTAATTCTACCTCGTGAAACAAAACGAGAACGCCATCGTGAAATTCGTAAATGCTCCATGCCTAGGTATCCCCATATCACACGCTATCACGCGCGAGAGCTATATGTAGATATATAGATGCAGAAAGTAACATGGTCTGTAAAGGATGTGTAACTATGTAATTGTTTAGTAGTAGATATTGTAATTATGGATTTAGAGCAGCCCTTTCCGCGCTAATTCGACCTTCCTGCTTGCCTCGCCGGCTCGGAAACCACCCTTGGAAACGCATATCCTGTGGCCGTCGCCTGTCTCGAATTTATCTTCGTGGTTGGGCCAGGCGCAGGGGCAGTGGTGCGGGAAGTGTACGCATGCTAGATAGAGAACGCGGTTAGTTACGTTCTTAATTCTCTATTTGAGTATTCATGGAGAAACAGCGGTAGGAGATGTAGATATATGTGTGCGCGTGGGTGTATGTATGTATGTGTATATGTATGTATGTATGTAGGGATGTATGTAGGATGTGTAGGGAAATGCGGCTTACCGAGTGTATCGGGACATAAGTAATTATCGCAATGCATGCGCTCAAACTGCGCTTGATAGAACGAGGAGTCGCTTGGCACGTTCTGTGGCCGCTGCTGCTGCTGCTGCTGTCCGCCTTGTTGCCCGAACATTTGGTCAAAGAAGCCGAATTGTGCCTGGGCTACGGATGCCAGGAGCGCGAGGACGATCAAGGGGAATGGGTTGTGGGGATACATGGTTCTTTTTTGCGCCGGCTGATGCGATTTGGGTGTTGTGTTGCTTGTCGTATATATAAGATGGCTATTTCGAGATTTGGTCTAGGTATGGTGTTTCGTTATGGCCAGGTATTGTCGTCGTGATATTTTATTTCCTGTATGGTATTCTCATCGAGATATTGTTGCACTTACACCTGGCTACTAGGTAGGTATTACAGCAGCGACAGCTTTAGCCTACGTAGCTGCATCGCTGGCAACATCCCCCCAAAGGTATGGGTCTTATCGTTATCGCAGCCACTGAATACAGCGCCTAGGCCAGGTACAAGTACAGCAGTCAATGGGGGTCGCCGACTTATGTAAGCAGAAATTTTGGTCCCCAGTCCAATGAGAAAGCTCACCTTGGTACGGGCTCAACATCAGTTCGACCCTCACCACCACAAGACCACTTCCAAGCCATGCGGGTGACTCAATTGAGGCGGCCGCTTGTGGCCGCTACATCTGGAATCACGAGATCGGCGACGACTCCCACGATACGGCATGTTCAGGATATATTCGCTCAGCTGAGGATAGGAACCGGGGCCGTGGTTGAAGGCCGCAGACACGCTTCCGTTAAGGCGCAGGGAGCGTATAAAATACGAGATTCGAGCACGATTCCCAAGAAGTTGGGTGCGAAGAAGACAGGAGGTACGTCTATTACACATCGGCTCGTAACTCTCCTGCAGCATACGAATCAAGAGTTCAGAGGGGCATTGAATGAACGAGGCGAACAACCAGATGGATGGACCGACGAACATTTTACTAATTGCTTTCCAGACTCATACGTGATACCAGGCAACATAATCTACAAACAGCGCGGCACAAAATGGTTTCCAGGCGAAAACTGCGGGATCGGTCGGGACCACACAATCTTCTCCCTAGCCACAGGCTACGTGAAATACTACCGCGATCCCTCGCTGCACCCCAAGCGACAATACATCGGGGTAGTCTTCAACAAGTCCGACAAGCTCCCCTACCCCAAAAACGCCGTCCGCAAGCGCAAGCTGAACATGGTCTCCGTCCCGATCCCCCCTCCACAGCCACAACCCGATCTATCCCCCTCCGGCATCCCCACGCAAGTCGTCCGCCAAGGCCGCGGGCGTAAGCCGCACCCGCGCGACGAGCGGATCATCAAGCTCGTACAAGACGGATCGTACGCGTACCGCGAGGAGAACTGGCGTCTTGGCACGCTCGTCCGGACCGAGAAGCGGAAGATGGGATCACGTCGTGTCGCGATGAAGCATAGAAGGAGGAAGACGAGAGCGATTGGCCTGGAGATGAGGGCTATGAGGGAGGATAAGATTGCGCGACGCAAGGAGGCGCTCGATGCGCAGCGCAAGGCGAAGATGAGGAAGATAGCGGATTACAAGAAGCGCATGGCGGAGCAGAAGAAGGGTGGTGGTGCTGCTGCCGGGGCGCAGACGATGACGGGGACCACGACGCCGGATGCGACTAGGGCGGATGTGTAGACTGGCTTGAGCCTCGTAGGCGGATGATGATGGGGTTTCAAAAGAGCCGCGGAATAGACCCAGCTAGAATGGGACTACGTCAATCTTCTACAGGAGAATCACGATGGGTTACGTACACTACTCGGATGTTTCACACTGAGGACAGACAGTATACGCGGCTTTATGTACTATCATCGCATTATCAAATGTATTAAACACCTGTCTATCTATCTATATGTCTGCCTCGATAATATCGCTGCCACGTTCCTATCCTATCCTTAGCTTGATGAACAGGATGCGGGCAGGAGAGGAAAGTGTAAAGTGTAAAGTACAGGCGGAGAGAAGATATGAGATGTAGAAATGAGAATCAATGATCGAAACACGATGGTTAGGTGCTATACTAGCAGAAGCAGAAGGCAGGTGAGTACGCTTTTCATCATGTTGAGTTGAGTCGAGTCGAGTTCTGCCTTGATACGCCAGAGGATAAGATTCGCGTAGCGATGGGACCGAAACCAACTTACATTGTTGGACGGTCGGGAAAAGAGATTAGAGCGGTAGAAATTACCTGAGAGGACTCGGAAAAGCCACGAGGTAGAAAGAGTCATGCTGAGACTCCGGCTGATAATAACATTGCTCCAGCGAGAAAGCGCAAGGCCGATATCAAAGGCGAGGTCGGGGTTTCCATCATTGGCTATCGACGCTTGTATTTGGGTCTATTATATGTGCGATCTTGTATATATATATATAAATTTAGAAGCAGGCAGTCAGGCGTCAGATTTTCTTCGTTGACATCCACGTCCATGCGTCTCGATCGTAGAATTGTTCTATTGTGAAATATGCTGTAGTATCAGAATCCCAGAGTACCTTTTTAGACAAGAGGAACATTCCGTCTATGGAACGAGTAGAATGCCCTCGGCTTGGTACCATTGATCGATGAGAGCGGAGGATGATTCGTGATATCATTGTCGTTTCGGCGGAACGCGTCCATGGTATGTATGAACCGGTCATTGTCGCGCGATCGCAGGAGGGAAAGTGTAGATTCAGCCATTGATGCGTCAGACAGGCGGAGAGCTCAAAGAACTGAGCTAAGGTTTCTTTTTACGCTTTGATAAACTGCATGGTGATCTATGTTCTATTTAGCATAAGCAATTCCCCAACGTGCAGAGCGACCAAGTTACGACAGATCATTGATGATAACGATAAATGGATTCAGGAACTTCGTGATGTGCTACGGACTGGCGTTTGGTCAAGCTTCGTCGAAAAGCTCTTATCAGAATAGAAGCTGTCTTTGCATGACTAAGGTTCTTGTTTGTATTTCTTCTCCATAATCTTTTTCTTCATCCCCTTTCCTCTCCTTCTCCCTTCGAGCACGTCGATACTTGTACTATTCGCCTGTTGAGACTTGGGTGGTTGCGGCGAGCGAAGATCGTGGAGTATGGCTGATTTCCTTGAGGGAGAAACCTCATGAGGGGTAATGAGAGAGTGCGCGAAGATTTTGCATGAGGGTTTGCGAATCGAGCCTCCGATAAGCGTCGGCGGACGTGCAAATCGCAGTTGGAAGAAGAAAAGTTATATATTTAGATTAGGGGATGGAGACAGACTCCTTATATAGATTTTCAGAAAGGACTCCCGTACGTAGACTCCCGACTTGCGTTTGTACTCGTTCTCCTCTTCTTCCCCCCCTCTTAGCTTAGAAGGCTTGAAGGTGCGAGCTGAGCAGCAGAGTGGTATTTTATTGTGCTGTATTGTGGTGCGGTGCGTGTTGATCGATGTCCCGGTGCATATCAATAGCATTGATCGCGGAATGGGAAGTTTTTGCTTTCTAGCTCATGATGAATTGGTACTCAACGTTACTGAGTAGATTGATGTGATTTGTAATATTGGGCTTGCGATGTCGCTCTTCGTAACTCCGCCAATCGACGACTTGTCTGGGAAATGGTCCAATCTCTGCGCAATGACGGCGCACGCCATGTTGATTCGAGAAACTGGGGCTGTGCTCGGAACCGGACGTAGTGGGCGACATTGGAATGGCGCGGCGTTGAGGTGATCGAGTACAGATCTGTCCAATAGTGAAAACCAAACACTAACTGGTTGTAGCATCGCTTAGCAAGTTGAAAAGAACATTGAAGTTGGATATATATAAGTATGATTATTATGTCTTGAGAATATTAAAACTGTGTTATGGCGCGTCGGCCTTAATAGAATCTCAGTCGCGACTTGTTACAGATGAGAAAGGATTTGAACGCTTTCTGTTACTTGTTGCATATTAACCAGCAGCTCCAGTGGGCCGAGGTCTGTAAGGTCGCAAAGTTTTCCCTTCATCCCACAGCGCTCCTGTGCCAACGATCTTAACGCAGAACTTGGGGCAGAACCGGTCAAGTTGGATTGTAAGGCGAGCTATAAAACCTTTAGTTCACTGCTGGATGGCATCTTCTAAGTCAGGAACACTCACTGCGTCCGAAATTGCCAGTTATGACTAGTTCTCAGCTTCACCGTAGAGCTGCTCAGATTGGAAGTTGACAATGGTTATCCCGTGAAGGAAGGTGAAACGGGGGAATGTGGCATCGATTCTGGGAAGGATGACTCTATTTCCTTCACCTCTCCCTCTCCCTCCACCTCTCCCTCTTCCTCTGCTTCTTCCTCTAGTATGTCGGAAACGGCGGCCGCCAGTTCTGAGACTAAAACAGATGGAGATGGAGATGTGAATACCAATGCACCAATAATAACCGTAATAACGAGTGAAATAATGCTCCTCAAAACCATACCGACCACTATCCTATAGGGGATAAGTGCCAAATAAATAATACATCCAAAGAGGCCACCCAAGAGACCGCGGTTTGTAAAAGTCATGATGATGATGATGATGGAGAGATGAGAAGTAGTTGAGTAATGTGCATGATGGAGTAAAGAGAATGATTGTCCTGAGGGAGAGCGGGGGCAAGATTTATACCCAATATATCTAAGTTCTGACGTATCTCTAGGTGAGTTTTGATTGTGCTATTCCATCAGCCGTACTTGTGTTTTGTTAGGTTTGCGAAGATGTGCAGTAGTCTGGTTTCAGTTGGTTTGAGTTTGCAGTGCCAGGGAATCATGAAGACGCAGCGACATAAAAGCACACAGGCTGGAGGAGAACAAGTTTTGGCACTGTTTGAGGTAGAAGATAGTGAGTACCTACCTAACCGAAAGTTTGTCTCTGTCTGACCATTGCACTTTGCTTATTATTTGCTTAATGTGGTATCATTTGCTCTGGCAGGCAATTCAGAGCCATATTTGAGCAGCTTGAACCCTTCACTGATTCAATTGTGCAAGTTTTACTCACTTGAGGATTGTGTAAATTTGGTTGCCATTGTGGCAACACACCTCATGATGGGTTATTTGCGTCTGCCAATCACCACCATAACTTGATCGTGATCTTACTTAGCATCTCCGTGCTTTCTTGTATTCTGCATATGCAGGACAGTGTAGATAACCTCACTAACTGGATATCTTTAACAACTGTAACTTGTAAGCATAAACTAAATCATACTGAATTGTCTTGGCACCGGCAAGCAGGGAGTGGCCGAGTAGCGTCTCGGGTAGCTGTCCGCTGTGGATACCGGAATCTTATGTCAACGTCCTATCAACCAACCTTTCTCCTCCGGCGGTAAAGATTCTGAGGTGGCACAATGTGGTAACGCAGAGATATCGTCATGATATCTAGCTTAACATAAAGTGCTTGGTAGGACTCCTCTGGACTGCCTACTGGCAGGCTGAGTTTCGGTTATGAGATCTCGGACTTACCCTATTAAGGTTGGCGGCGGATTTGGCTTGGAATAGTGTACAGTAAGAGATCCCTAGCTTAAACGGTAGCATGATTGACCGTTTTGATGACCAATACCTCGCATCTCGTTCCCCGAGTGAATACCGGCGTTTGCGTTCCCCATCTTCCCCGGCCGTCTCCATAGACAGTCGTGATATCGCGGGAAGTGGTCCAGCGCAGCGCGCCTTTGCTATACGTCCAGGTCGCCATATTGCTGAAGTTGGGCATAGCCGTCCGTTAAAAGCACATTCGCCATGGATGCCGCGCAGCCTTCGCCGGCGACCACTTGGTCCTGGCTGGAGTCCGACGCTGTCCCGCATATCGTGTCACAACCTTTACCTATGATCGTGACTATTCTTGCTGCTATCTTCGTTGCTTATTCAGCCTGGAGCTCGAGACTTCGAAAGCTGCCGCCGATCCTTAACACTCCCAGTCGTTTTGACATGAGTAATTCTCTGGCCAAGCTAGATTTTCTCCAGAAAGCTGCCAGCCTATTGAAAACCGCGAACAACGATTACGCCAACAAGCCAGTTCGCATTGCGACGGACACTGGCAATTTGATTATTTTACCACCGAATCACCTCGCCCAGGAGATCCGAAATGAACCCAATTTGAGCTTTTTCGCCAGCTCTGAAGAAGTAAATGCATTTCCTATCCGTTGTGAGACTAGTCTTACATGCCCTACAGGACTTCCATGGCAAGCTTCCAGGCTTCGAGGCGTTCAACGCCGAGAAGGCCGCCGGCATGCTTCTTAAGGTGACTCGAAATCAATTGACAAAATACCTAAGTAAGTGGCGACACACGTTCATCCGACCTTCGTGTCTTCCAGCCTCCTCCTATAGCCCCGAGCTAAATGGTCTATATAGCGAAGGTAACAAAGCCGGTATCCTTGGAGGCAAGCTATGCGCTGCACAACCTGCTTGGGGACTCTCCTGGTAAGTTAGAATAGTCCTGGGTTGTTATCCCACATTACTCACCTTCCGAAAACCCGCAGAATGGAAAGAGGTCAATGTCCACCACACGAGCGTGAAGTTTGTGTCAAGTCTGTCTTCTCGCATTTTCTTGGGTGACGAACTTTGCCGTAATAAGCTCTGGTTAGACACCACCTCTCAGTATGCCATTAATTCTATGCACGCGGTCAAGAGATTGCGCTTGTATCCGAAGTTCTCGCGTCGCTTCGTTCACTGGTTCCTACCTGAATGCCGATTGATTCGCAGGCTGCTCAATGAAGCTCGGGGTATCATTCAAGAAGTCCTTGACAGAAGACGGGCGGAAAAGATCGCAGCTGGCAAAGAGGGTCGGCCAATTCCACGTCACAACGATGCTATTGACTGGGCTGAGGAGGAGTCGAAGAATGACCCTTACGACCCTGCTGTCTATCAGATTGGTCTCTCCATGGCCGCCATTCACACTACATCGGACCTACTAAACCAGACTCTGCATAACCTAGTTCAGCGACCAGAACTGATCAACGACTTGCGCAAGGAGGTTATAGAGGTTCTGAAAAGCGAAGGTCTCACGAAGACTGCGCTTTACAATCTCAAGCTGATGGATAGCGTTCTCAAGGAGACACAGAGGCTGAAGCCGATAAAGATGAGTAAGCGTGCTTGGCATCTCTTGCTCATTACTTAGTCATCTAACTGACCACATCTGACTGCTACAGCAACCATGCATCGTATTGCCCTTGCAGATGTCACGCTGTCAGATGGCACTGTCATACCCAAGGGCACCAAGTGTGCTGTTCGCTCTACCAAACGCCTCGACCCGAACGTCTACGAAAATCCGGACGTCTTCGACGGGGCTCGATTCATGCGTATGCGTGACGTCGATGGCAAATCAAACCAAGCACATCTCGTGACTACTGGGACCGAGGCGCTTGGCTTCGGCCACGGTCTCCATGCTTGTCCTGGGAGATTCTTTGCGGCGAACGAGCTCAAGATCGCGCTTGTCCATCTACTTCTCAAGTATGACCTGAAGCCCACAAAGGACTACGTCCACAAGGTCATTGAGCTGGGATTCGATCTTCGAGTCGACCCTAAAAGCCAAATCATGGTCAGGAGACGAAAGGAGGAGATAGATCTGGATTCATTATGATCGTCTGCGTTTGGCTGTAGTGCGCTCGACTCACCATAGTTCTGGTCATGTTCTGAAATAACCTGTATATCATCATTCTGCATATAACTCTGCAGCCACCTAGGCTACAGCTACTTTTGCAACGCCCTCTTTTCTGACCATTGGGGGACGCTTTTGCTACGTACACAAGTCTTGGGGAATTCTGCAGTCATCTTTCTTTTCCATTTGCTCTTAGGGTACTCTGAAATGGCATCTAGCCTGCCGTTATCTTCATATCGCTTCGTAAGCTCTTCGTGGATGTCCGTCTCGGCGCTTTTTTGTTGAAATCGTGACGATCGAAGGCCTCCGGACCAGGCTGCTATCAATAGATGCTCAATTCTGATAAGTCTCTATTCTATGGAGTGCATGTGGATAGTGTACTCGCAATGAAATACGAAAGTCCTGTATGGACATGAGTTTAGGTAGCTGCTCGAGTCCTAGGTCCCATAGTTAGCTGGGTCACGCTGGATGTACCCCAAAGTCAGGGTAAGAGGAATAATTTCTTTGATCTACGGCGTTCAATCAACTTATAACAAGGACAGAGATACTAGGCTTGGAACTAGGAATTCAGATTATAATGAACAACTAGGGCTGCATGAGTCCTTGACCAAACCAACTCCTTCTTGGCTGTTGGTGGCTTGACTCGACTCTATATACAACTGGTCTGCCAGCCCAGACCGCCTAGGTCTCTGGGGTCTGTTTCAAGAAGCGAAGTCTGTATAACCTCACTTTCCAATATTGCCCAATATTGCCTGCATGTCTTGAAAGATCATGAACAGCCTGCAATGGCCCTTGGTACGGCCGAAGTGCAAGGCGAACTGCATATTCAGCTGGCACAGCGGTTGTACGTGTAGCACAACTTGAAATTACAGAATTGTGAATTGTTTCAATGAGGCTACATCACTCCAAAATCCATTATTGGTGTTGTGTATTTTATGTAATGTCTTTATTAGCTCCTTGAATGTGATGCTACAATGAAAGTGAGTCGAAGCATTGATACCAGACCTTTTTGGTCCAGGCTCAGCACATCAATTGATATGTCCAAGTTGTCCTTGATAGGGATTTGGGGGAATGATGTATATCTGGTCATGGTGAATGAACACTGCATAAGACTCAATTAGCCATTGACTTGAGAACACTACCCTTCAACACAAGTATATCATCATTGATAATATAATGAACAGTGTGGCCACGAGACTTAAATGAAGTACCAGAGCTGTATTGATTGGTCATTATACTATGTTCATCATAGAAGATAGAAGTAAACCACTATTAACTAGAATCTACTCTGTTGATAGATAAATATGTAGCGTAGGCAGCTAAGCAGCGTTCAGTTAAGCAGCGTTCAGTTAAGCAGCGTTCAGTTAAGCAGCGTTCATTTAAACAGCGTTCATTTAAACAGCGTTCACTTAAACAGCGTGCAGTTAAGCAGCGTGCACTTCACCATAAATCTACACCTCTCCTCCGAAGACAAGGCCATGTTTGTTTTTCCTTTTCTTCCTCCAGACAGCTCACATTGTCATCTCGTGAGTCCCTACAATCACCCACTCTCATAGTCCAAGCTTGAAAGAGTACTCCCAATCAGGTATGTATGAGAATCTCTTGCAACATTAGGCACACACACTCTTTCCTGATTATGGGGACTTCCTGACTGATTTCATGGCCTAGAAGCTCTAAACGACGATGGAGATTGACGACAACGAGGACCATCGCCGGATGATTGCGGCTGAAGCTTTGCTTCTCTTGGCCTCTGTAAGACCTCATAATATCTCCAACTGATGAATGTTAACTCACATTGTTGCTAGGGACGCCTGCTTACTCAGCCTTCCGAATTGCCTCCACCAGACCAGGCCCCTACCGCATCCACCAACCCCAACTCTGTCGATGCCTCTACTAGCATGCAAGAGAACATAGTGGAGGAAGGAGATGAACATGAAGCCATGGAAGAAGAGGATGAAGAGGATGATGTCAGTATTGACTCGAAATTCATGACACCTAGGATACTAATCTGAAGAAAGGAAGCAGAGAACCCTCTCAAGAAATATATCCTGATCAAGGAATTCTGGGAAGTGGACGAGTCTGATTGGCCAGCGAATGTGGCTGATATGGCTAAGCTTCCCCCACTGAGAATAGTGGAGAGAACAAGAGCGGCCTTTTTGCCCGATCCGATGGAATGGGATATGCTGGCTGCCGTAGGGCAGTGTGTTGGTCGCCAGGTCGCCGAACCTTGTGATCGCTGCAAAGCCGGGAACGGAGGCTTCAGTGGAGGCTGTATCCTTCCACCCCTGGGAATACAAAATTTGAAGAAGCCTTGGTGCTGCTTGTGCTGCCAGTACCAGTGGCAGTATGGTAATTGCTCTTTCGAACCACCTGAAGAAAGAAAAAAGAGATTAAGTAAGAAAAACAAAAGAGGAAAGAAGGTGAAGAAAGCTCAGGTGAAGAAGACCAAGGTGAAGAAGACCCAAGGAAAGAAAACGCTGGGAAAGAAAGCTCTGGGCAAGAAGACTCTAGGCAAGAAAACTCAGGGCAAGAGAACTCATGGAATGAAGACTCGCGGTCATCGTAGTTAAATGATAGGTGCATGACTACCTAAGCAAGCCGCTTCCCCGTAAGGAATTGATGTATTCTTAGCACAACTTTCAATTCCAAATAAAATTGTCTCCGAAAAACTGGAGTAAATCATGCTTAATGAGAGGGTATAATAGATTGGGAGTGACAAAGGCTTAGGTGTGCTTGCTAGCAAGCTTACATACTTGAACACGGGGCTGTCCACCCTTTGTTTTGATGCACGCATCCGGCCATAATTCCTACTGGTGCACCTCTCAAAGGAAGCAAGACTATAAATCTATATCATTCGTGCATGTGCCGATTCATGTCTATTTTCTTGATCTTGTTACAAAGAACGTTCGACGATCTGTGATCATGAATGCACCAGGATCTGCCGCAGCGCCAGACACTCCGCCCTCATCACCTTGGGCGCAACGTTATCCACTGAAGGAATCTGTTGTCGTGGTGGGGAATAAGAAACGATCATTACTCCGCCCGCATTACCCAAGTATCGAAGATCCGAAGTACTATGACCAAGACCTGAAGCAGATTGTCAACCTGGGTATCTGGAATCCTACGGAGGTAGACACTGTTCTTTGGAGCGAGAAAATTCAAAGAAGAACCTTTTGGGGAAGTCGAACATGGCAACTTGCTGCCCTGAATCGTTATCTTAAGTTTCATGCTGGTCCGCCCTTCGTGCCCGTCCCTAGCGGTCACAAGCCACCTGTCGATAAGCTCGCAGCAGGCGTTGCTGGATTGAAGATCTCCTCATACCTAAGGCTCGATCCTGTTGCAGTACATGATAGAAGAAAAATAAAGATTGAAGAAAGAGAATGGCTAAGCTTTTTGCACAAAGATCGATGGTTCGACTGGATCCAAACTTCCCCGGGTAAACGCAAAAGACCGATTAAAACTTGGAGTGTCGATGAAGAGGATATTTGGCTTGCTTTAAGACCTGTGCTTGAGCTAACTAACCGCTTCTTCCAAGCCCTCATCGACGATAGTCATCCTGCTGGTATGCCAAAGGTTCTATGATGATATTGGATCAGAAGCTAACATGATTCTTAATTGTAGTAAGCGAACCATAACATCATCAACATCCGCTCGATGATTCATAGGCTTATTATAATTAGCTCCGGACATTTATATACGGCCGTATAGAAGACTGGAGGAATTTCAGCGATGTATTTGGCGAAGCACCTGTCGAAGACGCAACCGTTCTCATCAGTTACGAAATGGAAGAGATCATTGCTAAGAAACGAAACAAGGGACTTGAATTCGATCATGGTAAGCATAATGACATTCAGTACAATTAGTGGTAATTGATATTCACTGTATTTTGCGGGGGCCTCGATTGAGGCTTATTTTGTTCATTACTTTTATCTCTAGATATTAATACTAATATCTACCGTGAAATAGCTCTCGTTCGTACCAACCAACAAGTGCGTAACAGACTAGAGAAACTTCTGTCGAGTCTGATATGGGGTTTCGGAGATCTTCAAACATCCCATGCTTTCACCTGCGAGCCTTCAAAAGGCTTTGCTAGCATGGCGCATAATTACACCATCATGGTTACTCTCAACATCGCTAAAATCCAAGGTCTACTAAACCCGGATTTAACTATTAGGGAACTATGTGTCCTACAATTCGACTTAGCAAACTTGGTAAGTAATTACAACAAAGATTGATATGTTCCCAATGCATGAAACTTATTTCATCTCAGCTCCTCCACGAGATCGCGCATGCAATTTTGTGCAGTCGTAACTCCTTTGTCGGCAATCGCTCAAGTATGCAAAACGAAAACGCCACACGCGAGCCTGTATGACCCTCTAATTTTCCAAATTGCTGCCTAATCTCCTAATCGTGTTTCTGTAGTATTATGATGGCAAATGGCTCCCTGAGGCTGGATTCATAATGGAGCAGCTTGTATTTGGAGGTGTACATGAGTCGCTACGTATTTCAACCTTTGCCATCTCTTAAAGCACAGCTAACAGCATATCATAGCTTACAAGCCAGATGGCGTTTCCCCACCACCTATGCTACATGTGCTCAGGGAGTGGCCGTATGCGAGCCACGCAAAATTATGGCCACCTGCAGATTGGGACAGTACATATCTCAAAGATGGTGCATTAACAAGAACATATGTCTTACCTGCGACCTACTCCTCCAAGTTGCTCTCCGAGGAGTTTTGGGAAGATCCGTTGATAAAGTGTAAAAGCGACAATTACTTCCATAACAGCCGCATCTTTCGTGTGACTGCGCCTATTCGAAACCTCCGTACAACGAGATGTGGAACGCCCAAGGTTGTGAAAAAGAGGAGGAACCAACCCCGATACCCTGAAGATAAGATCCTAATACAAGAGTGGAATGCACAAAAAGAGGCATTGGAAAAATATCAAGAGATATGGCTGTAGGTCATTGTGCTCTTGTTTTGGCTTAATGCTTTATGAAATATCAATGGCTTGCGCTAATCTTTGGGGACCTAGTCACAAAGATTACGCCAAAGTACGTTAAACGGTTCATATGCGTTCTCCCACAAAGCCCAATAACTCTGATATCGTACAAAAGCATACTGATTTTAACACATCTAGTGGGATGCCAGCCCGGTATGTCTGACAAAAGTTTCCACCTTTATATCGCAACCCATGATCAGCTAATGATAAGGTTTGATAGTGGAGTGCAATTTGGCCGCGTCAAGCCCTTCGTTCGTTTGCAGATGCTTTTGAAGAAAGGGACCATATAGAATGTGCCAGACTTGCGAGAGGTTATATAGAGTACGTCGACTGGAGCCATGGCCATAACGAATTTGCAGAATGTATGCCAACAAACGGTTCGTATCACTTTTTATTACGGTTACTTATGGCAACAAGGCTAACAGTAGATTCTGCTCGATAGAAGTCGCTTCTGCTTATTGGATATGGCATTGCATAGGTACGTGTAAATGCAATCACCGGATCAGCTCCGAACCCAATGCTGTTAGGAGTGTACCTACATCTCCACGCTAATCATATAAACAGGACTCCTCATGCTGGCGTCGCTCCCCATCCGGACAGAACCGCTTGTTGAGAACGAGACTCCCACGCACTATATCGTCGAATTAGCACCTAGTAAGGCGGCCGCCGCCGGCGGTCGTGTAGAGCAAGTATATAACTGGCCGGATACACCAGAGCCGACAGAACTTGTTGTACCAGTCAGTGAATTCTATGACCAAACATGCATTAATGGGTATTATGGCAAGGGAAGAGTGAGAGACTTTTCTCAGCGTGATTATCTTGTGTTGGTTGGTAAGGTAATTAGGATGATCATGTATAGACAGGGGCGCGTATATATCAAGTTCGTGGACGCCATCAACAAAGCCAAAAAGAAGCTCTCTAAACAGCGATTCATGTTGGAGGAGGATTATCCGCGAGGTGCTCATAAGACGAGATGGGTCTCAAAATGGCCGTTCGAGTTGCCTGAGTATGACCCGACTGTCATGATACACAGCGGAATTGAATGGGAAAAGCCACAATCCTAGAATCCATCAGTATTATGGGAGTTGAGGGCGCCATTAAAAATTAGCACGTCGCCTTAGAGACTTTGGATGTGTTTCGGTTGTTTTATGTAAATATATCTTAGGTTATGCAAATCATATTCATCTCATCCATGCCTTGTAAAACTAGAGGATTACACCTCCGATAGTACTGATGTTTTCAAGGACTTTAGCGTGTATTCGAATAGCCGAGGACATCAATTCTCGTTACCAGAGTGTCGAATATTATCTATACTGACATAGCTCTGCGTTTTAGCGATACTCAAATAGCGTAGTCTGTTACATAGTCTATGTCTTTCTAAACCGACACAGCTTCTATACGCTTCTTGAAAGGCATCGGGTCTGAATTAGTGTGTACGTCCGCAAAGCTATAGGTACAATGCAGCTCTTCATAGGTTTGTTGAAGAAGCGCATGTGGCTGAGTGTTGCTCTGAAGAGTTGGGATCGGAAATGAAAAGTGAAATCTCAGGGTTGTCAGCAAGATGATCCTCGATGAGCTCTTGGGGAGCTGGGCGCAGTAGAGATTGACGCCGCTGTAGGACTGACTGGATTGCCTCGAATATATGGCATCATTTCCCATGTTGAATGATCGCGAGAAGGGAATATCACGATGAATTCCCACGGTGACGTTCATTGCGCCTGCTACTGTTCCAGGCTGTTGCTTGTATGAAATCATCGTCTGCCCTTGTTAGAACACGTCGCTGAAATCATCCTGAGCATGGCGACGTTGCAAAATTGAGAAACTTGCCACTGCATCACCTAAGCGGTAATGAGGCTCACATATTTAGGTTAGTCGAGATATGAGGCATGATTATTTTCAACAACTTTCCCATTTTGCCACGGAATTCATGAGATATTTGTTCTCGATCGCCTGATGTTGTAAGACGCTGGTCATTCGTGCGTATGTTGCCCTCTCAATGTGACAAGGATCTGACCCAGCCGCAGCTAGTGTGACGATCCGCCCGGAATAGGGTGCCATGCTGACCCCCTAATCCGCATTTGGGGTGTATTCTGCGCTTGTAACGCCACTTTTTGTGCGTCAGGTCAGCAGGGCTCGCGTTCATCGTGTTGCACTGAGTTCACTTTCGATCATAGTGTAGGGCTACGGGATGAGATAAACAACAAGTGTCCCGCTCAGTCTGGGGAAGTCGATCGGTCGATCACGTATTCTCACCTCACGTCAGCGGAATGAGAACCTGCCTCGCCTGCCTTATGATGAAGAACATGGATGGAAAGTGCTCATTAATGACAGCTTCTTAAAGGGTGTGAGTACCCCTCTCACTACTTGCATTTCTTTTCAAAATTGTCGCGTCAAGCCCGTGACCACTGACCAGCAAATCGCAATCGGAGTTCTCCGTGTGACATATTGAGCATGGGCTAACATGGCTTCAGACATGCGCGATTGGCAGAACTCCAATGTAATTGCCAATATGGAGATACAAGAAGCCGCCGCTCGTGGTGATGCGACAGAAGGCCATGGAGCAGAAAGAGAGTCACGACGCAGCGATGCCACTACAACCACAGATCCAGAAATGGCAAAATCGAATCGTAGTAGCGGCTCGCACTGGGGATCGGAACCTGGCTTTGAGCAAATTGATGGCGACGTGGAAGGGTGTGGTTATAATGAGACAACTGTCGACATCATTGCGGTTCCATGCATCGGCGCCTCGCCTATCGACACTTGGGCGCGAGACCCTCTCAGCGAGGGTTATTTCACATTCCCGCCGACGAACGAACTGGATAAGTACTCCACCGTCAAAGAGTTGCCAGGTAGTAGCGTCCTAACGCCGACCATCAATCGCGTCCTGCCAAAGGCCAATCATATATGGATTCGCCAGGGGATCAGAAGGGAAGTTAGCAAGGCTCGCGTTATGCTCTATCGACACCGCGAATTGGCAGAGGGGATGACTATCGAGACGGCTGCCGATGATCTCATTGAGCAGCTAGTCAAGATGCGCACAGGTCTTGAGAAAGCTCGCCCCATCTTCTTCATCTGTCATAGTATCGGCGGACTGGTGGTTAAATTAGCTCTCGTCAAGGCAAGGAAGCGCGACGAGTTGCGACCGCTCGTGTTCGACTGTCACGGAATCACATTCTTCGGTCAGTAAGTTCTTTGATAGCGAGGAACCCAATACACTAACTATCTAAACAGCCACCCCTCATCGCGGCTCGAGTTATCTATCGATGCCAAATCTTAGAGAGAGCATCCAGCATCTGCTGTTCTTGGAAAAGCCACTCCCCAGATCCATCACCGATGAACTTCGCTTAGGCTATAAGCCACTACTGAAGCTTCATGACAAATTCATCGATGTTGCTAGCGAGCTTCGCGTCTGGACCTTTTACGAAACTGTTGACTCTCAACTTTCCGGCCTCGGAAGCTACGACTTCGACGAGGTTCATTTCAGCGCACCGATTACTTCGATCAAGTCTGGTCTTGTTGGCTTACGGACAGAGCAAGCATTATCTCTCGAGAGTGATCATGCTCACTGTGCTTCATTCGGTCCTCAAAATCTTCATATCATGCACTCGTTTCTATATGATCTCGGCGCAGCAGTTCGTAAAGCCGAACTACTCAGTTCTTCATTCATACACACTCCATTACGCCTATCCAGTAAAGTAAAAGTTGAGCTCATAGGCTTTTATGATGATCCAGACGGTGAAGCGGACCGGAGCATACGGCTATACATCTCAAAACATTACCTTAATGAGTTCCTAGAAAAGGGACTGGAAGATTGCCTACGGGAACGGATGAAAACGATGGCCCCGAAGATCCGACGAGCTGTTCTTCCCCCATCCCGACGCACTGCCGGTAGTCCGCCGAGGATATCTGGTGTCGGAAGTGTCGTCTGGAGCGGCGTGCGTGGATTTGGTCAGAGAATACTAGGATCATCCCATTCCAACGAGGAATCACGGAGCCCAGAACGTGACATACCACATCAACAGTCTCCCGAAATAGTAGTAACAAGCCATACGCCTAGACGGCCGTCTCTCGCGGGCGCGACGTCGGAACCCCTGCCGGCTGTTAACGTTTCTCCGACAAGAAGCAGAGGGTTAACCATACCCTCTTCGGCGACTTCTGGGCTTTCTCATGCACCTAGTGGGTCGAGTAATGAAAGTGTCAGATCTAGTATCGATGATGTATTGAGAACTCAGTCCGAGCCTATCGCGGCCGATACTTCGCCAAAGACAACTGAGAGTCGCCAGGGCCGCGATAGCGGGCAGACAATAGGTGAAATACCTATTTCCGAAGAAGGGAGATCTGATACCGGACGTAAGAGTCGTAGAGAACAGGTGAGCCGTGCTGCATCGTGGCAAGACCTTACAGCCGGGTTTTCACGACCGAATCCAATGAAGAGGAAATTCATGTGGGTTCATTTACCATTCAACAATCCATATTGGGTAAAGGTAGGAGCAGCTCAATGATCATTAGCGATAAGTGGTGACGTGGATATGCTGATATCCCATAGAGTATATTTGACAAAATGTCCGAGAGCCAAGACCGGAGCTACTCCAAACTCCTTAGCAACGACTACTGGGCCAGCAAGCATGTGCAAGGCAGACGTGCGAACTGGCATGTTTCGTATGTGAAGCCAGGATGCGCGTTCGTCCCAGCGGAAACAACAGGCGCGCCTCGGTCCCCATCCCCTGGGAAGAGTGGAAGAAGTATCAGCCCCAACGTATCTCCCGCACACTTCTATCTCTATCTTCCCTACCTCCATTATGACACCTACATTAACATTATCGCGCGCCGTAATATCATCAGGCGTCGGAAGAAACACGGAAGAGCCAGACCAGTTCCAAAAGACATAGCCGAACTCGAGTCGCTAGAATCTCGCGTGATCTGGGAATTCATCGGGCACGACCCCCCGCTCAATTGTCGGAGAACGCTAGATCAGTATGGCTATCCAGCGCTTCAAGACACCTGGGCCCGTGATGACGATCAGATGTTGTACAAGCTGACCAGAGAGAGGATCATGGACCCGTTGAAACGCAAGCGAGATATGTATCACGCGGGCGAAGACCTGTCGAGCGCTGTCTCTCCGGCTAGTCGATTAATCTCAGTAGCAGAGAAGCTCGGCAGACCCAATGGCACAAAGGGTGACGAGGAAAACGAATCCGACGGAGACGCGGATATTATCAACGGGAATGTCCTGATGATAGACCAGCTATGGCTTTGGGCCGTTGATAATAGTAAGCACTCCCAAGTTTGTCAAGGCGTCATAGTAACTAATTAAACAATCAGCTACGCTATTAACCTTCTTCCCCAAACGAGAATCTCACCCGATAGAAGGTCCCATGTTCCAGCAAGCAGATCTCCGCAACAGCATCTACAACGAGCTGAACGGCGATCTCACAGGTCGATGTGAGAATGTGTTAGATCTAGCCGCTTTCGTCACTCTTCACGCGGTGACAGTCCTCCTAGACCGGGCTGCCCACCCGGACCTCGACATATTCCGAATTTTCGATGAAGCCATTGGAATATTAGTAAGATAGTTTACTCGCGATATACGCATTCCATCATTCTAACTCTACCCAGACCGAAAGAATGACCTCCTCGCTCAAGAGATTCCGCATGGAATCCTACAACAAAACGCACTCAGACTCGGACTCAGACACGGACGACCCCGACGACAACCGCACGGAAACCATCAAGAAGCGGCACAACCGCGAAGTCGAGCGCGCCGAGCGCCAGAACCGCGAAATCACGTCCGCCGTCCTGGAGCTGCGCGACATGGAAGACGAGCTGCGCACGCTGCTGAATCTCTTCGCGGAGCAGCAAGACGTGATTAAGAAGATGCGCACCGGCTCGCAGTATTCAGACGTCGCGACGCTGACCGATTACGGACGCGAGTATCTCAAGGAAGCACTGCAGCGCCTAGACGAGTACGAGAAACAAGCGCACGACATGCTGGCCCGCGTCGACGCGACACGAAAAGACGTAAGATTCATCCAACTCGTCCAAATTCACATGTCGTTAACAAGGGAAATAACACTAATATTAACCAACACCTGCCACGTCTAGTTCGAGAAACTCCAAGGCATGATCCAGCGCCAAGCCCAAGTCGACGAAGTCCGGTGGTCGCGTCTGCAAGCCGAGCTCGCGAGCTCGCAGAACCTGTCGGTGATGATCTTCACGACCTTCACGGTGATTTTCCTACCGCTCAGTTTCTTCACCAGCCTCTTCGGCATGAACACGCAGGAATGGGGCGGGCCGGACGAGAACAACTTCCCGAGCCTGAAGCTCATCGGGGCTATATCGCGTATGCTACCTATCCCTACCCTACATTTACACACTTACATTTTACACTCGCTTTCTTCCCTGTCTATTATCTTTGATCTATATCTTGTGTAGTCTAGAAACAAGCCTCTATGAATAATATCTAACTAACACCCTCCCCAGTCCCCGCCTCCGCCTTCCTAATAGCAATAACCCTCGTAGCCGCCTTCAGCGGACGCATACAGGGTCTAATCAAGCTGATATACCGGTACTTCGAAGCCTTCGAGGAGCTATGCTACCGCCCGATCAACGGCGCCGCCGACCGCCTCGGGCGGCTGCGCACGAAGTCCTCCAGGGAATCCGCCGCGAAGCGCAAGCGCCTGAAGGCCCTCGAGAAGAAGCGGCTGCAGCGCGAGCGCGAGCGCGGGTACGATTTCTGGGGCGCCATGCGCGCCGAACGGCGGAGCGAGTACGAGATTCCCGAGATCAATCGCAAGAGGGCTATGCGGAGCCGGGTCCCTGGTCGGGGGACGTGGGGGAGGTTCGTGGGTGATGATGGGCGGTAGAGGCCGTACTTGATACGCGGATGCTGTGAGGAGGTTAGGTTGTGGGGTTGATTTTGTGAGGCGCGTGGTAGATACCCTATTGTCATGTGAATTTGACAAGTTAAGATAATAAATGGAATAAAGCCCAAAGAATCTGGAAGTGAATGATAAGGATGAAAGTTTATCCTGACAAATACATCGGTGGCAACCGTTAAATATAAATATAAGAAGGAATATCAATATACATATATATATATATGCCAGATCACCCCGCAACATCTATATTTCTATTCAAGTGCAGCTGAAGCTCATTCACAATATCGTATCTCCCCATGGCCTGCGCCAACGGGATCCTATCGACAGCACTTTCAGGCTTCGCACCCTCTCTAAGAAGCACGCGGACAACCGACAGATGGCCGTACTCAACGGCCCACGAGAGGACTGTCCTAGCGCCCTTCTCGAGATCGTTGACGCCATGTGCAATGAGTGCTTCAACAATACCTGGTCGGTCCCGCTGAATCGCCCAGGCTAACGGTGTCCAGCCGTCGACGTCGCTGTCGTCGAATCCTTTCGCCCCGTATTTGAGTAGGACGCGGAGCGGAGCCTCGTGTCCATGTCCGCAAACCCAGGAGATAGGGTTCCGCCCGTCCTGGTCGACTTTATCCATCTCAACCTTCTTCTTTCGCGCGAGAATTCTGACCGTGCCGGCATGGCCGTTACCCGCTGCCCAGGACAGAGGCGTCCTGCCTTTCTGGTCTTGCAGGTTGACGTCGACGCCTCGCACCTTCAGTAGGTCTTTCAAAATGTCTTCCATGCCATCACCTGCAGCCCATGACACTGCGGTACGCCCTGCTCTGTCACGGCGGTTAATGTCAACACCAGGGTGTTTGACTATCATTGATACAATGAGTGCATGACCTCCCCGCGCTGCCCACATTAGCGGTGTGCCTCCAGAGTTGTCGCCCTCATCGGCTTTGCAATTGTCTTGTGCCAGAAGATGCTTGACGATGTCATGATGGCCGTTACCGGCAGCGAACGACAAGGCAGTCCGCCCACTCTTTCCTCTCACGTTCAAGTCATAATGTCCTCCCTCCAACAGCCTAATTACACAATCCATGTGTCCGTGAGCCGCAGAAGTAGTGAGTGCCGTCTGTGTCTCAACGGCATGATATTCGGGATTTGCGCCTGCTTCCAGTAGCGTAGAGACAATCCGGCTATGGCCGGCTTCAGCACCCCAGAACAGGGCTTGATCCTTGTCAAGTTGGGATGAATCAAGGCTTTCCAGAAAGTCGACCAGCGTGTCTTGGAGGTTAAAATACGCCGCCAGCGCGAGCGGATTGGAACTACCATATATGTCCTCAGGAGAATTAGTAATCTCTGACCGGTAGAAATGTAACCAATTCCGACAATTTGCGGTTCTAACATCCAAGAGGGACTTGGCCGCGTTTCTTAGCTCCATTGGCGCCGAAGCTTCGCAGAGGGAAAAGTGTTCCGTCCAGTGTAGCGACGCATAGTTGTAGAACGCGTGCTTGGAAGCAATGACTTGGGATATATCGGCATCTAAAGCATCAGATTCGCGAAACAGTACATCTGCACCAAGTTCTAGCCCACTCTCGTCCCATAGATCTCCAAAGGATTCGGCTACAGGTAGGTCATGGGATGATCTGGAAGAAAGGGAGCTAGATTCAACTGGTGAATGTTGCGGGGAGTAGAGATTCTCTGAAAAATCTCCCAAGAGGAGGTAATTAATACAAGCAGAAGCCATGCTTAATGCTGAGCTTTCAACAGTTATAGGAGGCATTCCCGGATAAGCGTCATATATATGACTAGCGGGTTCGTCACTGTCTTGGACCAGAAGAAAATCTTTGACTGTTTGGTGAACGAGAGATACTTTTGATTCCGAAACTCTTACCAGGGGGCCCAAGACGCCTAGAACAGTCTGATGGATTGCGGGCTGGCAGTCTCGAAGGACGTCTCCGGAAGACTCGTGGAAGGGTTGGATGGTGAAAGCTATATTGACTTCGTCCAGAAGGAGAGTTCTAGAACTCGCCAGCAGTAGCCTCAGCAGCTGCCATGCCGAGTCTTGATGATGGGAAGGTAGAGCGGACAGAAAATTTAAGTATGTTGCTTCAAGATCACGAGGTAGCTTGGCGATGATATCCTGAAAATCATTGATCGATGCGAGGGAGCTTCGTTCCAAAGATGCAAGGACCATATGAACCCACAAGAAGGTCTGCTCAGCCCTGGACAATAAAGCCTGTAGTAGAAAATCCTTTGTCTCTTCGGAGCAGCCACGTCTAGATGTAATTTCATTTACTTTCACCTGGATGAAGACTCGGAGATCTTCTCCATGGCCGGGCTGGCCTTCGTCGATAGCAAGTTGATGCCCGTGGAGTGGAATGGCGACTTTTTCCTGTCCCAGCGTCGGGCGACTTGTCAATAGAAACTTCACGTGCCTGCCACTCCCCGCTGATGAGCTAGAGGCGCTAATCAGTTCGTGAATTGAGTTAAGCAAGTCGTAGCAAGAAGAGCCCTCGCATTCATCTAGGGCGTCTATAATGACGTAAAGAGTACTCGACTTTAAATCTTTAATGATCCTCTCAAAGACACTCCAAAGTGCCGAGAATGAGGAAAGCATACTCATGCCTTGTACCTCAAACACTCTCCCTATGTATCGAACCATCGCACGATGGCGATGAACAAGTTGGGCAATGAGGCCAATAAGAATGGCTTTTGCATCCTTCTGCATGCTAATTTTATTGTCGCAGAAGTAAATAAGAATGTTCTGGGATGTTTCTTCAAGCTGTCTTTCCATAGAATAGGAAAGCATTGTCTTGCCACAGCCTGGGTAACCTGTCAGCCAGAGGAGAGTACTTTTGGCCTCCTCAAACCAAGAGACGAATAGGGGATGAGCCCGAATCCATTGACAAGTTCCCTCAATAGGCTTTGGCAATCTTCGTTTGTAATCGGTCAAATTGACCATGTTAAAATGCGCCATGCACAGCTTTTCAATGTCACTAAGCTCTTGAATTTGGTTAGAGCCTTGGAAACGCGTCGTACATAGTCATATCTGGACTTACTCATTTCAGAGGAATGGGTGCTTGTGCGAACAGGCTTGCGCTTCACGTTTTGTGGCTGATAGGTAATCCTTCGAAGAGCCCGGCATACTTGCTTGCAGGATTCAGTTTCGCCAGAAAATCTACACATGTCTCGGTGGTTCTCCCAGAGGGGTATAACATCTTCATGGTCAATGTTCATGATTGCAGATGTCCGATCTACGATCTAATTCGAAACAATGTCAGCTAATTTCTTGTGAACATCTTCTCCCAGCGATGCCCATGGCACGGAGCCTCAACGGATATTAGGAGTTTCAAGGTGGAAGGCAGAGTATGAAAAGAGACGGGGAGTAGCACGTACCAAGCCAGAAAGAGGAGGGGTTGGCTCAGTCTCATAGAAAGAAACAACCGTCATATTCTCTAATCGAGCACGAGCCTCATCCGTGATCTTACGTAGAATATCGGAGTCGTAGTTCAGATGACTCAGTAAATCAGTTCTGATGATTCCAGGTTGTGTTCCCGCCAAGACCATCCTGGAAAAGAGGTTGACGATTGTCCCTATGGTCTTACCCAGGTTCGCAACTTCACTTCCTCTGTGAGGAGTTCCTAGGAACGTGATACCAATGACGGATCTCAACAGAGATCCATATTCTCTGTTGGCCAGGTGCGCAAAGATCAGAGCCTTTCTGAGGTCAGCGCGTGCCTGTGCCTGGTTCAGTTCAGGTTAAATAAGGCCTACCTGCTTGCAAACAATGCCACCGAGGCTATGGCACACAAAAATAATCGACCGACGCTCCTATCGTCGACTTCAGCATCGCTCATGCAGAGGCGGAGTAAGGGGCCTCCATACTCTGCTTGCATTCTCCTCGTGAATGTCCCTTACAGAGCTTAAGAGCCCACGTGAGAATTCCTCGACGGAAGCGAAAGATGAACTGAAAGCCGCTTGGGAGGGGTAACCATAGGTATAGACGCGGCATCTGGGGATGTAGCTTGGAAGGATGTCCTTGATCCACATTGTCCCGTTGGGGTGTGTGAAAGTGGTGTAGGCATCTCCATTCAGACCATGGACTGCGATGATGTCAACTGGATAACGGTCGTCTTGCTCTGAACCAGCAGCACTTTCGTGAAGACAGAACAGCCCGAACCGTTCAGATCTTGTCTGTATGTTTCCGGAGGACGAGGCAAGAGACGGGGTAGACGGGAGAATGGGTGAGGCGGCAGGGGGATCACTGGTCGGCCTCTCGGAGCCTGATCGCCCACGGCGAAGCTTCTTTCTCAGTTCTCTCAACATGGTGCAGGTGAGTAGGCGCGAACAGAGTCGCTGACGTTGCGAGACTTAAGTTAACAACATCTTACACCTCTCCAGTTCTTAGTGATGCCTAATCTAATGGTGAGGTAAGAATCCTGGCATGCAGCCAGAAGTCACCGTAAAAAGAAATTGCACACATCGGGGTTACTTCGCATGCAGCTAACAGCCAAGACGTGGAGCGACTTTGCATCTCTCACTCTTCTCTTCTCTTCTCTTCGGCTGGCTGCTGGAAAACAGCCCCCAATCGTCATGAGATACCTTTTGTCTCCTACCGCAGGCAATTTTATATATGGTAGCTCTTACGGTAGCAATTGTCGGTGGCTTAGAGATACTGCATTTGATGAAATGAGGAGCTTGGTAGAGCTACCTATTGGGGGCGATACGATTTACTGAAGGGGTTTAACCAACCTTTGATAGCGGGCGTTTACCCCGCCGTTCTGTGAGGGGCCTGCTGTGTATTACCAGCAAACTAAACCGCCGATTTCCACTCAAGATTGATCCTGTAGATGTACATAAGCATGCGGTAAACCGATGCAGGATTTAGCTACCTATTGGGCATTTACTCTGCCTTAGGTGCTTACCTACTGTTAAGATACCTATTAAGGGCGCTGTCCTGGACTGAAGGTGGTTATCCGACGCAGCTCGTCCGCAGACAAAATTACCCAAGTATGGCTTTCATGGTATAGCTGTAGCCCCAGTGTCAACGACGTAATTTGAGGTCCAATAGGTAGTGCTAATAGGCAATACATTCCATCCATCAGTGACGTTATCATATCTACTTACTTTACCTACCTTACTACCAGAATCTCTCTTCCACGAACAAGCTTGCCATCAAAGCCTACATGCGAGCAGAACGGCGATCGAAGCAGCAGCATTCACATAAATCAAACACAAAGAACAACACTCACGACAATACTCACACCTGACCAGCATGGCAACAGTCGACACATCTCTCCCCGCGCACCCCACGGGCGCAGCAGCAACCCTCGCAGCATCCCATTCCGCCTCGCATGACCTCAAGCTCTACGGCGGATGGTTCTGCCCCTTCGTGCAGCGGTCCTGGATCGTGCTCGTCGAAAAGGGCATCGCGCACCAATACATCGAGATCAACCCCTACCGCAAAGACCCCGAGTTCCTCGCGCTAAACCCGCGGGGTTTAGTGCCTACGCTCGCCGTCCCTCCCGCCGACGACGGGAAAGCGGCGGCGAAGCCGTTATACGAGAGCTCGATTATCTGCGAGTATCTCGACGAGGCGTACGGCGAGGATGCCGCGGCGCTCCTGCCGCGGGGGAGAGGAGAGGTCTACGAGCGCGCGCGATGCAGGCTTTGGATCGAGCACATCGGGAGCAAGATCGTGCCTGCGTTTTACAAGTTCTTGCAGCATACGCCTGAGAAGGAGTACTCTATCGAAGAGGCGCGGGGGACCTTCCTGGGACACGTTGAGGCTTTTGTGAGGGAGATGGATGGTGATGAGCGGGGGCCGTGGTTTCTGGGGGACAGGTTTAGTCTTGTCGACGTCATGCTTGCGCCGTGGGCGAAGAGGATGTTCCTCATCGACCACTATAAGCCTGGTGGTGTGGGCATTCCCGCGACGGATGGGGAGGATGGAGGGGTTTGGAGGAGGTGGGGCGTGTGGTTTGATGCTATTACGCAGAGGCAGAGCGTGCGCGAGACCTGGAGCGATGATGAGATGTATGTCGAGGCGTATAAGAGGTATGCCGAGGATACTACGCAGTCCGAGGTTGCGAAGGCTACGAGGAAGGGGGGGAAACTTCCGTGATGAGTTGTCTTTTCATCTATCATACCCAATAATTCCCTCTTTTTCAGGTTTGTTTCTTCTTTTGGCATGTATCGCAGTTGTATTTACACCACGTCAGACTTTGACTTGTTCCTGCAGAAGGATGCCTCGCGTACCTGGCGGCGGCGGCGGCGGCGGCGCAGATCAGAGAGCAGCCTGCCGCTTAAACTTCCTTTCTACAAAAATATCTGCTCGTTAGGACTCCCATTCAAGCCGTTTAATTAGAGGCATCAGAGAGGCATGTTCCTTCGAACTAAATTGATCTACAAAGTCTGTGCATTGATCCCGCAGAAGATCTATCGGACCAGAACCAATGAACCCGCTCCGACGATCACAAACAATCAAGATACGGCACAGACGTCAGATCAACTATATTCAAAAAAGGGACAATGAATTAATTAATGAATCAACACATGCAAGGCGATCCGAGTGACACAATTGGCACAGTACGGTAGTGTAGGGACTGTACCTAGATCTCGCATTACACGCATATAATTAAACGACTGATGACATCGACTGATGCCGCAGCCCCGGCGCAAAGCTAACCAACATCATACCCCGGGCGCTCTCGAATCCGTTGGCTCCCGGACCCCATCGACGGGGATCATCTCAAACAGAAGCCGTTTCACCTCGTCGGTACATCTCAATGCGCCTGACGCATCTATTTCCGTACACAGTTCACTTCTACCAATGCCGTCTCTGCTACCTTTATAGCAACGAATAGGTAAGTTATTATCCTTTTCGGCCCTTCGTCGACTGTTGGTTCTCGTCGCTCGCTGGCCTGTCACAGCTTAACGAGATGCGTTGATTGCTTTTCATCCCTTTCTCATTCTACTTTCATTTCATTTTCAATGTCCTCTCTGTCCGCCTTGCATTCACTCTGCATCATGGAAATTGTTTTTCTAGGTAGTCAGTCGTACACTAATTAAAAATGTATTCTAACAAACTAGGTAGCCGGCGTATCGTGTTTCTACCCTCTCGCCCAATGGGCGGGCGTGCTTAATGCCTCACCTCACCTTGCGCACGAAACAGCTTTCACTCTCATAACAAGTGTTTCTCTTGGTACGTTTCACCGATAGGGAAGAACGTACCATCGCGACGTTTTACAATCCACGCACGAATACGGGACTGAGTACGGCAGTTCAAGCTACTCTTCTTCTCCTCCTCTCTTCCCTTTCCTTACCTAAGGGGAATTCTTTTCCTTCTAGAAAGGGAGCATCGTTTCAACGAATCCCGGTTAGGTAGTTACGTAGATCCCTCGCCATTTTCCCCCAGGATTGGGAGTATTCCTCCTAAGTACAGTAGCTCGGAAACCCCTTCTTGCTTGCTACTATCGGTAGGGAATGCCGGATTTGTCTGCGTGTTGCGGCCCCCGTCTTGGCTTGGCTTGGTCTGGCCTGGCCCGGTAGGTAGGCATATTCCCTTCCTGCGCCGCCCCTCTCATTTACGACGATGAACCTCGTCCGAGAGCCCTGTTGGGTGGAGGCTGTTGGTGTGGCGCGGTGACGAGATGTCGCGTGTTACAACGGTCCGGGTCCCATCTCACTCTCCATCCCTCCCTCTCTCCCATGAATGAATACTTAAGTAGACTACCTATATATGCCCCATGCCCCCTGTGATGACAGGCTCTTGTTTCTTCCGCCGCTCAAATCAACTCAGACTTGATCCGGCAAACACATATTCGCAATACACTTGGGAATAAAATAAAAGAAACAATTATCTACGCCAGCAAGATGAAGACCACCGCGCTCCTTCCCGCCGCCGTATTGGCCTACACGGCCGCGGCCGAGATGCAACTCTACGCCTTCCCGTCGGTAGACAAGCGGGACATGGACGCGGTCAACACGGCGCTCTCGCAGATCTCGAACGCCATAACGCAGCTCGACACCTCGGTCCAGGCCTTCGACAAGGACGGCTCGAAAGTGAAGGCCGACGCGGAGAACCTCGTGAGCACCATCAAGGAAGGCGCCTCGTCCGTGGCGTCCTCGGGCGCGATATCGCTCGAGGAGGCCCTCGGCCTCCAGCAAGTCGCGGCGTTCCTGACCACGGCGGGCCAGAAATTGGTCAAGGACGTGCAGGGCAAGAAGGCCGCGTTCGAGGCCTCCGACGTCTGCGAGGACGTCAAGTCCAACATCGAGAGCCTCGGGTCCGAGGCCCAGACCTTCGTGGACGCCATCATCAAGCAGCTCCCCGAGGAATCGCAGCAGGCCGCGAAGCAATTGACGAGCGGGATCTCCGCCTCGCTCACGCACGGCGCCAAGTTCTTCAAGTGCCAGAAGGGCGCGGACAAGGAGGAAGACGACGAGGATTACGAGTCCTCGTCGTCGGCTGTCCCTGTCGCCACGACGTCCGCCTTGGCGCATGCGTATCCGACGTCGTCTGTGCCTGTGATGACCCCCAGCGAGACATGCGTCGCTATCACGGTGACCGTGACGGCGCCGTGCGACTGCGGTCCCACGAGCTCGAGCTCCGTGCCCGTCCTCACGCCCAGCTCGCACGTCACGAGCTCCTCGGTGCCCGTCACCACGCACAGCACAAGCGTGCCGTACCCCACCGGCGCCAACTCCACGACTATCATCCCCACGGGCGGCGTCACGACGACCTCGGTCCCCACAGGCATTGCCACCGCCGGCGCCTCGAGCAACGGCGTCGGAGCCGCGGGTTTATTGGCGGGTCTGGCGGCTGCTTTCTTCGTTTAAGAGAGCCCAGCCTAGCCCTGCCCCTGGGTGTAATTCCTTATGTTTTAAAATAAAGGGATGTATAGATACAGAAAAATCGGATATATATGAAAGCGATGGCGTAGAATAGGGCTGGACTCCGCGGGCTGGTATACCCGAATCGACCGCACTTTGTTTCTGTTATATATTTTACGTTGGTTTTTTTTGTTCACTTCGATGATACCAAGCCTTTTACGGCAATTGTACATGTGATAAAATTTAAAACATGAGTTTACGTGTTTCAAAACTTTATTGTTATAGTGTGCTGGTGATGCTTATATTGTCTTATCGGTTTTACACGATTAAATCATCGTTTATAAAGTATCACTGATGATTTTGACGGGTAAAGAAGTGAAGTCTCAGGTGAATTGGTGGGTAGTGTGAAAGTCTTGAATTCAATCTCAACGATGACCACTGGATGAGAACTCATTGTATCACGTCGCATTACACCTGCACGTGATTTCTCGTAGATTTAAGCTGTGAAGGCAGCCGCGTAGGAGCTCGCGGTAGGACAAGGAGGTGGCGAATAGGTGGGAGTCTCGCACGCAGGATGGCATCTACTCCGGGTTAATTACTTCATCGCGTGGTGTAGCGAAGGCAGGGGGCTTACCCTCCATATGTTAAGTACGCCGTGGGAGTCGGTGACCCGCACTCCTTGATGTGGTCCTCACAAAGGGTGTACGTATTTGTGCAGCTGCTGGGATCAACGACAGTGATGCTAGGGGTCGCTGTTGGACAGCCTGGTGCAGAGTAGGTGACATTCACGCAGGCATCGTGACATCTGGGTCTCAGTCAACCACTGATTGTCCCTCCAAGCTTAACAGGTGTAGAAGGGTGTCCTTACGCTCCGTATGTCAAAGTAGTGGGAATAGGCGTCACACACGTCCTGTATAGTGTATCGCATACCGTCCCGGTTGATGTACATTCATCCATGGAACTGGCACCGGTAGGGCATGGTGGTACTGTGAAGGTGGGCGTTTCGGTTATATCGTAACATCTACAACTTCATTAGCAAGGGAAGGATAAACAAAGCATATCTCTATCATGTATCGGGGCTCTCTTAGGTTATCTCTTACCCTCCATACCAGACGGTTGCCGTTGGCGGGCTGCCACAAGCTGAGGAGTAGTCAGCGCAGATGCTTGTCTTGGTGGGGAACTGGTCCGAGGGGAGGCAAGTCGTAGTTGCGGCTCCAAGGCCAGCCAAGGCGAAGATGTAGAGAGATTGAAGTTGCATGATTGATGATGCTAGATTCACAGCTGTTTACTTTCTTTGGACTGTTTGATCTGCCTCGTCTACGTAGATCATTCAAAATGATGAGATGAGATATGGGCACATATATATTTGGGGAGCCATAGTTGATCCTCGCTTAAGTGAGCCCAATTTGGGCTTTTTGACTCAAACTCCAACACAAATAGCAGCCCTACAGAAGATGCTTAAGCGAACACGAGTTGTGATGCTTGGCGTGCTGCATCCTCAACCCGGGGTAAAGACAATTTGGTGAAGAATCTTACTATATCGGGCGAGACATGATGCTGGCAAGCGCAGCTGAGGAGAGCGGTCAAGTGTGTATGGGTGAAGCCGGGCGCCTCGTCCCTGCGATGCCGGCCAGGTGCTGGGCAAATTAGTATTAGCCTAAACTGCGTACCATTAAATTGAGACATGGGCGATGACTGTCTGGAACTACAGCTCGACGAGATGCGATGAAACGTTGTAGATCCAGCATGCTGAACAAGTTCGTATTGCCCATAAGCCGTCGTGAAGTTGCTGGGGTTGCAGTCAGCTTACTGACGCTTTCTGAACAAGACGAGATCTTGGCAAATTGGATTGCCAAGTGTCTAGAAACAAATTGTTCAAAAAGAAGTCTCGATATCCCAGCAGTATTTGGGCGATTGGTCAATTTAGATGTATCATCGTGTGATGTCTTGGATGGAGACGCAGTTCTTCGTGATTTCACGGCTACGATAGGATATCAAGCGGGTATCTGCATGCGAGTTCGGACAACATGTAGGCATTTGTATATTGCTTCGGTTTCTTGTTGCAATTTGTTCCAGCAATCACATCACGCAGTTTGCTGTGCCTGTTGTAGAGAGATGGATGCATCTCATACCCCAGATCGCCCGTTGTGTCTTGCAGTGCTTACGTAAAGATTTCTAGGTAGCTTCTCGTTTAAAGGCATCTATGCAATTAAGAGAAATAGTGATTTAGGTAGTGCTCAATGCATCAAAACAGTATTGCTGGTATTGGAGGTCAAGTCAGGTCGCATCCCGTCCCGGCCCCCTCCGCCTTTTGTCTCTTCCCTTCGTGGTCTCGTGATTCTAGCAAATGAGCTGATTCACCACGCAAATAAGCAGCAATCTCCGGTGCTTGCTTCTACGTAAACCATGTGAGAGTCTGCGTTGAGAGGTGACTGTGCTAGGTCGCTCTCGGGATTCCTTCGTCAAACGCTACACGGTACACGCTAGGTACACGCCGCTCGTCATCATCACATGGCAAGGCGTGTGACGCTCACGATTCACCATCACTGTCGCGATACTCCCAGCTCTCCCCATAATGTAAGTCTGAGCGAATCGCTGTGCTGATTAGCACGTCTTTCCAATAAGAAAGCATTCAGCACGGACACTAATCGAGCTGATGGCTTTGCCGCTGCAATATGACGCCGTATGTCGACTCTTTCTGGGTATTCCCTTCAAGCCCACGAATCGTCTTTTTGGTCAAAGCAGCATGCATCCAAGCAAGCACCATACTCGATTGATATGTATTGTCCACGGAATAGCGATATAGACCGTCAGCCTGTGCTATCAAGTGCATGACAAGTGGTGAGTTGGCACATCCGGGTCTTGTCCCACCGCGAACCATAGACGGGAGCCAGATGAGGCATATGCTCTATGAGATCATGCGGGGAGCTAAAGCGGGTCACTCGTCTCGTCCCTCTGATTCTATTCGAATCTGTTGCGGCGACGGTGGGGGGACGAGTCTGGGAGTCTCCGGCATGAGCTTACACCCAGGGCCCTTGGTCCTTCACGGGCTCCCTCTCTTGGCCGATCAATAGCTTCGACGAGACCTTCAGTACCAGGCGGCAGTTCCCATTTGAGTAATCACAGTTGTATAAGATAGAGTGCGATGTTGGTGGAGAGGGAGGGTGATTTGTTACGCACGCACCCAACCAACAACCCAACAAACTCGCTTGGAATGCGTCTTCTTTCTTCTCTTGGTTGACACGACGTCACCTGTTTGTCTGTGTCTGGTCTGTCTTCCTAACACGCACCTGTAGGCATCATACCATCGACTACCTACCTAGGCAATCAGGAGGGAGTCAAATCAGTCAGCCAATCCAGCCAGTCCCTCTCATTCAGTCATTCGCTCCCTACACCGCCGCCATACTGGAGCCTTCTACCTATCTAAGTAAACTAGACGCAGACCCAAGCGGGAGGCCCCTCCAAAAGGATCGGCTCACACCAACGCGCTTCTGCACGAGCTACGTCGAAGTGCAGCTCTCCTGCGTCGAGTGCGTCTGTCGAGACCCCTGCTTGCCATCATTGGCGCAGCAAACAGCCCGCCCATTCCCGGGTACTGACTGGGCACCCTAGTCCACACCTCGTCCTTTGCCCGTAGCTATCTTTAAATATTCCCACCATCTCTCATGACATTCTTGTACCTACAACTGTAGCTCTTTGGATAGAGTAACAGTCCCACGTCAACCAGAAGACCCTGATTTCTCCCAAAACTTATCAGTTACAGTATTTTCTAATTCTGTATCATGGCGCCCCGCTCGAGTAGACATCGTCATGATCGTTATGACGACCCATACACATTCGATGATCCCTATATTCACTCACCACCAACAGACCACAACCAGCCAGCCTATGAATACATAGGCACCGACGAACCTCTCTCTCCGCGCCGCGGCTCTCCAGCCCGTCATACATCTTCGCCAGATCGCGATAGGGCGCGACGATACGCTCGCACAACTAGCCCTCCGCGACACTCAAGACGCGACGCCGCCTATTCCCCTCCCCACCATACGTCACATCATTCATCATCACCCCGCACAAAAGATAGAGACAGGGATAGGGACCGCGGCCGAGACCGACACCGAGACAGAGACAGCGGCCAGGATACCAGAAAGAAATCTAAAGGAAGGCACTTTTACACCGACTTCGCTGAACAAAACCCGAAACTGCAGGGCTTTGGCAAAAAAGGCCTGAACTTCCTTAGTGAAGCGGCTGCTGCCTATGCCGCGGCGCAAGCTGGTAAAGATGCCGAGAAGGGTAGATCAAGTCGGTCAGTCGACCGCCACGACCGAGACGACCGATCTAGGCGGCACCATAGACGGCATGCCTCCAGTCCTTCGCTATCTCCATCTCCACCACCCCGAAGACGACATTCCACCCGTCATGGCGACCGGGACAGATCCCGTCACCGTGAACACGAGCGCCGGCGCCGACACAGCGCATCACCACCCCCACTAAGTCGAAACCCAGACTCGTACCTCGCTTCACAACGGTCCTCAACTCGCAGCCGAGATCGAGACCGTGGCCGGAGCGGAAGACATCACCACCGCCGTTACTCACCTTCCCCATCGCCGTCCCGTAGCTCTCGCTACCGCAACAGCACAGCACCGCCTGCAAACCCTGCTGCAGAGCGGTGGCAGATGGCAGCCAAGGCGGCGATAGAAGCTGGCGGCCTGACCGCTTTCAGACTGCGTAAGCAACCGGGAAGCTGGACGGGTGATAAAGCGGCTAAGGTAGCTACCGCCGCTTTAGGTGCCGCGGCTATGGACGCATTCATGGATCAAGATCCTCGTGGCTCCAGGGGAGGCATGAAAGGCATGGCGGAGAATGCCATCAGTAGCCTTATCGCGTCGCAGATCATGGGCAAGGGCGCCAAGCGGAAGGGGCGCGGCCGCTTCTAGAACATGGTTGCCGCCCTTTCCCAATCTCAGTTGCCTCTTTCATCCTTTTCATCTTTTTCAGATTTGTCTTTCTACTGTATTTCTGCCTGGCGTTCTTCCGGTGCGGTATGACCGTATTTCATTACCTATTTTACGATGTTAACGACACACCTTTTTATCTAGCGTAGACAAGATTTGCGAATTATTATCTCTTTCTACTTTACGTTTGAAATTGAGAAACTCCAAGGGCTGTAATTTTTATACAGATTATGCTGCGATGGGTACTGGTTACAACAGGAATGACTACGGTAAATTGCGATGACATGAAGGGATAGGGATTTATGATGGGATATTACGGTATTTGTGCGCATATATGGCTTTGATACAGGTTGGCATACACGATCGCGACGGACTGGAATTTTCTTATTCACTCTTGCTAGAGAGATTTCAGAAGCGTTGTAACTTTTCACAGAGGCGTTGTATTATGGACGGCGTCAGCAAGACAAAAAATACATCTTGTTTTATTAACTTTAGTATCGCGTTGAGCAATACAATTCAAACTATCTCGAGCCTGTCTGCTCCAACTAATTTAACCTCTATTCTCACATATTTATTAATTTCGTCAAGCTTAGAGCTTAGACTCGACAATGTCAACTCTCGCCTAGGAGCATCACAGTACGTTACGAAATCACGTTCCCGTGATATTTACTTTAAACTTCTTGGCTCTCAGCAGCATATGGATATTCCATGATCTACATGTGAATATTGCTGCTGCTGTACCTACCTACCTACCTACCTACCTACGTTAAACATCGACCGTGAACAATTAAGCCACTTTTTATCTCATCGCCGCTTACCTACCCACGCGCTCATTCATTCATACCTGAGCATCTTCATTCACTCAATGCTTCGAATACTAACTATCTTTATCAAGCATCCCCCAGCCTCCCTACCTCCCCGAATGAGTATCCGGACCAAGAGACACAGAGTGGGTAAGTAGGATAGAAATAAGGATGTAGGCAGCACAAGCAATACTGTATGGTAGGTACACTCACAAGGCTCGGCCAAGAAACCGTTTTTTATTTATTATGTATATCCATCGTAAGACGAGGGACTTTAATTTAATCAGCGCATACGTGCTTTACCTAGTAGTACACACCAATCCACGTACCGCCACAGCATCACAGCATCTGCGGTACGACTTGCATTACATTACCTGTCACTCTTATTAGGTATCTGCCATTCTTCCATGGAATCCAGTATGGTCGCATATGGGTATATTCCCGTGTGCTCCCACACTACCTACCTAGGTATGCAATCACGCTTTCACCGAAATATAGCTTCCTTCATTCATTCATTCATTTCTTACTTTGATCCCTGATTACCGATTTCATTCATTTAGATAGATAGTCTAGGTCCCTCAGTCCATCAACCCGCCTCTCACTCCCATCACTTAATCACCTAGCACCTAATCACTCACTCAAATCACCTAGCCTCACTCACTACCGTAACAACCCTCACTGAGAATAAACACCAACCCCTCATCCTAGTTAACACGAAATAAAATATTTTCCATTCGCTTCAGCCGAACTCATAATTTAATTCATCAAGTAAGCCAGTCAATAAATATCCAACCCAGCATCTCAACATATTCGCACATTTTGCATGTTTCATTCATTCATTTCACTCTAAACCCTAAAACTCATTCTATCATTTCTATAACAATCCCCGACCAATAGAGTTTCACTCCTATATCAACAGAGTCAGGCAACGTTAACAGCCATATTTATACCATTTGAAAAATCAACCCGCAAAACTCCGAATTTCAATGGTATACACCAACCAACCACTCAAGTTTATACCCAAGTTTCGACTCCCTATCAAGCCATTCTTTCCTCAGCTCTTATTATCACTTCCCGCCATATTAATAATGTTCCGAGGCAATATTATGGATACTAATATCCTCTCGATTCTCCGGAGTCCGGGGCGCATTCGACGCCGACAGCAGCGCGGCGGGGTCCGCGTTCGTCGGGAGCGTGTTAGGCGGGACATTGAGTCTAAATCCCCCACTCGCATTGACGCCGTTCACTGTACTACTCGCAGTGACAGCTCCCGCAGGCACACCGCTCTTCCGATTCTTATTTCTTATCTCATCCAGATGGTCGAAGTACCCTTCTGGGACGTCGGTCTGATACTTTCCACAGAACACGCCGACTTCGAACTCGTTGACGCCTCCTTTGGGTGCAGCTTCAGCACATGCTTGCTTCAGATCATCGATATCCTGGTATATGAGATCATCTGCGCCTATCAGTTGTGCGATATCTTCACGGGTCTGTTGGTAAGAAACGTTAGTATGATAGAGTCTTGTAATACTTCTACGGCATTATGAACGGGTCGACAGGGTGACGGAGGTTAAGGGAAACTCACCTTTTCGTGCGCAATCATTTCATGAGGTGATGCGAGATCAATACCGTACTACACACAATTAGCCTTGAAGATTTGAAAGAAGGGGAAGAGACACGCACGATATGAGGATACACCAACGGCGGCGCACAGCTAGCAAAGTAGACTTTTACAGCGCCAGCCTCTCGCGCCATGCTAACAATTTCTTTCGACGTAGTTCCCCGGACTTTGTAGTTGGTCAGTCAGCCTATATCTTTTCAAGCGCGACATCAACAATGATAAACTTACCTATAGAATCGTCAACTAAACAAACAGTCCTCCCTTGAAACTCCGACTCGATGGCGGACAGTTTGCGGCGAACACTCTTTTGTCTGAGTTTCTGACCGGGTAAGATGAATGTGCGGAAGACGTATCTATTCTTGATAAAGGCGTTTGACAGTGGAATTTTTAACCGCTCCGATACGACCGCGGCAGCTGTGTTAGCGGTTTCGGGTACCGGGATGATAACATCTATTCCACGGACTCCTGCGTCTCCTATGGTCTCGCGTATCTTGTCTGCGAGTTTGACACCCATGTTTTGTCTGCTCTTGTGTATGCTGATAGAATCCGACTGAATAGATCGAGAATCAGTACAGAAAGCTTCGAATGTCTTTTCGTATCTGATACGAGGAGCACACGATTGATTTCGCGGGAGAAAGAACTTACGACCGAGTCGGGTCTAGCAAAGTAGACATATCTATGTAATCATCGTGTAAGTAGACGGATTTCAAAAGAAACGGTAGGGAATGGCCGTGACGACGCAGTCATGGCTTGTATGCGTCGGGTCATGATCGATCCACGACAGACCAGAGCTGACTTACTCGAAAATATCAGGTGTATAACTCTTTCTCTCCTGAATTTGCTTGAACTCAGCCTTTCCTCCCTTCTGAATGAAGACGGCTTCACCAGGCAGGATATCTCTCCAATCTTTGAATCCAAGTTGGCGAAGAGCTATGCTTTCCGACGCAATCATGTAGTCTGTCGCACCCTCAATGGTGGCAGAGGGTCGTGTGCCGATGAGTAGAGGGCGAATTCCGTGCGCGTCTCTGAAAGCCAGAACTGGAGCAGTGATCAGTCACTTTGCCTTTGCCACGGGTAGCGAATTGTATGAAAGTAACCCGGATAGTATGGGATAGAATGGCACAGGTTATTTCGGAGTTATGGGATGAGATAACTTACTACCGAAGCCAGCAATCATGGCGGTGGCGGCCCATGCGCCCTGACACTTCTGGTACATTTGCTTAAGAGATCGGAAGATATCCTCGACGTTGACTCTAGCCTTGCCGGTATCATTAAGCGCATTGGCGAAAATGTTGAGCATAAGTTCGCTGTCTGAGTCTGTGTTCACATGACGATGGGCCTCTTCATCCAGGTATCTATGCAGCTCAGGAGCATTGATAAGGTTTCCATTATGGGCAAGGCTACAGTCACGAGAGTGTTAACTAAAGTCATAGGTGCTGTATTGCAATAATGAATTGAGCCGCATTTTGATAGGAAAATAAATAAGGGGCTTATACATACCAGATACCGTAAGGGCTGTTGCAGTAGAAAGGCTGACTTTCGGCACTCTATATGAAAGCGATTGTTAGAAACGACCAGTCTCGTGTTTAGGACATCTCTAGCAACACAAGACTATAGAACCAGGTATATTTAATGCAAGGCGCGAGAAAGCGATCTTGGCAAGGAATGGAAAGGGCTTGTTGCGGATATTTCACGCAATCAAGTGAAGAATGTCGGCAAAGAGTTTGGACTCGGCGATTGGTGGAGGATGACGCACTGAAGAAGTTCCAGCTGTGGGATACCGAAGATGAGCAATTCCCCTAAAGTCACGCAGTCAGCAAACATTGAATAATCTCTGGAGTTGCTTGTTGGGAATTTAGGGTTTTCGGGCCGGTGCAGATGCCGCGGTAAATCAATGTTATGTGAACTTGGTCGCGGCATCTACGGTAAGCAGAATTCGGTCGGAACGAGTAACGACATACATGTAGCCCGGGAGATCAATGACACGAGCACCATCCTGAAAAACCTTGGCGGCCATACCGTTACCTGTGTCTAGAATTAGCACACCAACCTCGTCATGACGGACGACAATGCAGCGCCGGTTGAAGGGGGGCACACAAACCTTTGCACTGGTATACCCGTCCCTTTGCGCCGCAGGTTGCAATGCCGCAGGCATCCTGGCCACGATGCTGGAGGTAGAACAGCGACTCGAAGAGCAGGTGTGACACCTCGGTGTGCGACTCGGTGTCGGCAAGGAGCAGGCCTACTACGCCACACATGTTGTCGAGGGGTATGACTGACGGGATATGGATCGTGGTACGAGGAGATGGGATTCGAGGCAGCTCAGGTTTCGCGATGTGCCGGTATTTGGTATTTGGAGTTTGCGACTCGAGTTCAACAAGAGACGGCGAGTGGGTGGGTCAAGGTAAGCTGCTCCGGTGGTCGGCCTTTCACAACAACGACGACGACGAGGTAGGATCACGGGTTGGGGAAGGCGGATTGGCAAGCCAAAGAATTAGTCACGGATAGACATGATCTACTATTTACTAGAAGCAGAAAAGACGGGACATTCCAGTTTGTGCTGATGGCAAGGAAGTGTTTGTCGCAAGTGACCCCGCGGTCGATGCGAAATAAAAAAAAATAAAAAGTGGGAGAGAGGCCACCTGATACCGCAATCTCGGAGGCTGCAGGGTCTGGCAGAGGGACCGGCCGGCAGAGGGAGGGACCTAGCATCGACCACTCAGGTACTTGCTATAGGTAAGTTGCCACTAATGGCCACTAACAGGTTACCGCATAGAGGTACCTAGAGGCCGCTCGAAACACTCACCACGCTGAGGTATCGGGCGGCTTGTGTCGCGATAAGAAAAATTTTGGAGGGGTACCGACGATAGGTACTTAGGTAGGTACCTCCTGATTGATCGATTGATTGATTGATTAATTGATTGCTCCGGCGATTGCGGACAAGCACGCGGGATGGCGGGGCACAGGCTCGATAGGGTCGCAATTACGGCATACTCTAGGCGTACTCTAGGCGTAATGGGGCGTAATTCTGCAGTGTGCATGCCATCATTTGCTCCCTCCCTAATGCAGGTAATGCGGGGTTCCCTGCAACACTGCACCCCAGCCTCTTACATAGTACTTACAGCGCTATACGTACAGCGCTTTACCGATCAAGCGAGAGATCTATTATAAGAGACAGAGTTATATTCAATTGCTAATAGATACCTACATACGGCCTTGGTACCATTCTTTAAGAAACTGTCATTCACCGCTCATTCGTTCACTCATTTTTGTCGAGTCCTCATTTTTGGGGGGTTTCGAGAGACAGATATATCCCAAGGTACCAGTATACCAGAGTAGGTGTACAAGTTGACGGCGAACACAGGCATCTCAAGTAGTACCATGTACACCATAGAAAGAGAGAAACACGACCGCGATCGATCGGCTGCATCTAAGTGCTGACGACAGTCATCTTTCATAGATCCTTATTGCAGCTGGTATTGTGTGGTATCCCGCCGGGAAGGGACAGGCATTATTACGTCGCACTCATGTGACCGACGTCGGATTCCTTTACGCGACGACATCCCTTGTCCGACCAGTTCCCAGTATTACAAGGGCACAGAAAGAAGGCCGGGATGAGATGCCGGATGCTTCATACACACAACATTTCCGGTTTTCCGAGGACAAGTTGATATAACCGACTTATAGGATGTCCATGTCAGAGATAGTTGCTTCGAACAATCCCTTATAAAGTACTACTGCCGTGAGATGACCGTTTCATGCAGATGACAGCCTCAAGCGAGGGATGATTAGGTAGAGATAATCGATTTTGACTATGTAAGCCCGAGATAGCAGAGCTTGGCGTTAAGGCCGGGACGCAAGGTTAGGCAAAGGATGACTCGAATTATGCAGTTTGGAGGAATGATCTGTACGCGCTTGAAAAGATCGATGAGTTTCTGATGTAGTTTAAGAGGTGAGTGTAATAGTAGGTGATCACCTCAGTAGCTAAGTTTGCATCAAACACCAGTCCAAAGTGCTCAATTATGATGAAGAGGCGTTTAGAAAATCAATGGTCATACTGCAGGGTGCCATTCAGCTCTTCATTTAATTTTGGGTCAGATAAAGGGTCGTAAAAGGCCAGTTGAAGTCAAGTAGGTCTAGTCTAATAGGACTCGATAGAGGAGTCATTTGATCCCTACCTTTTCAGAATGTTTAGGGGTGTAACTCCTACTAAATCCAATGCATCTATCCCTAGGGTCTATTGGTCTATAGCCCCTGACATTATCCCAATCTCTTGACTTTAACCTTCTCTCGCGCAAGGAAGCTTTCAAAGGTTGTTAGTGGCATAATGCCAGCCACCTCCTTCATGTCAACAAACTGTGTCATGAACTCCAGACATTTGTCACCCTTGACGTATGTGTTGTCAAAAGACCCAGCAGGCAAAGGCAGACACCTCGGCGTCATTCAATAAGATGGCCTTAAGCCCTGGTCGTCCCATTACGCTCCCAAGATAATCCATTGTCTCCTGCGGAGCCAAGAACTCACTGGCGAGACCTCCAAGAAATTGGCCATGAAGTATCCGGGACGTAAAACTGTAAATGATTCGAACCCCGTGCTCTTAACAGTGTCCTCGACGTTGTGCTTGACCTTCACCAAGGCATGGAGTATGCTGCCAGGTTCAAGAGCGCAGCCTAGGTTCCCCTCGTCATTGTGTACTAATATCAAATACATTATTAGATTTTTTATCATGTCAGAAAGTTTGAAAGGTCGGGAGAGACTCACTAGACACTCCAAGATTCGTAGATAAAATAGCCTATCTCACCCCGACATTATTAGCTACCATTGAGATTGCTGCTGCCTGTCAGCGCTCGTGGTCGAAGTCCTCGATTGTTGACGCTAGAACGATGAAGGTTTTATCACAGCCGACAAGACTTGTTCTGGGTGCCTCTTCATTGTACCAGTCTCCTTGAGCAAGTTTGACGCCGAGTGCTGCGAGAGCTAACGCCCAAGGGGCCTCGAGGTCTCGAACGGTTGCATGAACCGCGGAGCTGTACAAGCTTCCTAGCGAGAGCACCACCTTGATTGCCTGTCACGCCGCACACGAAAACGCAATTAGCTGGCGAATTCATGCTCATCACACTAGAAACTATTAGGCCGTCAACTTGAAAAAGAAAAAAAACGAGAAGTTATGGCTGGCTGGTGACTTGGAGTGTCTTACGCGATTACCACTTGAGCGATAAACCTATCACGGAACGGCCATGATCAGCCCCAGAAGACCGGAATTCTTAGGTGCGGGCTGTTTCCCCTACACTTCTGTACAATAATCATATGAAACTCGTAGACAAAACATGTCATCAGAAGAAAGAACTCAAAAAGCTAGCTAAGTAGCCTCCGCCCTATTTTCCAGCTGATACCAATTACTTGCTACAAATCTCAACACGGGCTTCTAAGAGTCCATCTCCACTAGTACCGATAACGAACTGGTCACTAATGCAATCAAAGTCTTCAGCTTTCGCCTGTACAAACTGGAAATTGAAGCGCCGGACAAGTGCGGCAAGTACGTTGTACAATTCGGCCCATGCAAGGCTGCACAGATGAGCATCAACTAGCATCGGCTGATTCAGTGTAGGTAAATTATCTACTCACTGCATGCCGAGACACACCCTTGTTGCTCTCGAAAACTGCGCGTATGCCTCCTCAGCATTGTTCCGGCGGCTGTGATGCGGCCGGCGCCCAGGATTGAAGGACTGGGGGTCCGGATACAATTTCTCATCTGTATGTATCAGGATTGTGGTCATTCCGACAGGAGTCCCGGCCGGGATTCGATAGCTCCCGTAGGCTAGATCCCGGTCAGGGGCGATACGTGTCATCCGCGTCGCTAACCCCAGGACTTAGGCGCAAGCCTTCCATGAAAGTCGCAGTTAGGTAAGGGAATTTCTCGAGGACTTTGAGAACCATTACATCTGGATGTTCTACTTCAGCACTTCTAATTTCCTCTCTTAATCGTCGAAGAATTAAGTTATTGCTAAATACGTGGAAACAAATCAATCATAAAGCGCTACCAGTGGTCTCAAACCCAGCTCAGGTCACAAAAGTTACATCCTCGAAGACGCGCTGAAAAGACTTGTCTTCTAACGGGAGCTTGGAACCAAGGGTTTCATGGACAATGGTTCGGCGAACGCGATTGTCTGGCGTAGGTACATTCACGCTAGCCATTAGATCTTTCGTGATTTTTCATAGTAGCCTAGAAGCTTTAAGAAAGAGTAACGCGAGTTCTAGATTTCGCAAGCAAACCTTCATATATGCGAAGAAAGTCTTCATGGTATCATCTAAGATCTTGATCGTCCAATTCACTGGGATTTGTTGACAAAATGGAAAACATATCCCACATGCTTGGTGATCCGCCACAACGGACCAGCCCCCTTTGCCGCATAAAGAACAGCGACGTCGAAGTCCTCACTGTCGAGACTATTATGGCTTCGACCCAGAATATACTCGAAGGACACGTCGCGGGCCATCGCCGAAATAGCAGCACCCACATTCACCGTTTTCGCCGAATCGGAGACCCTAGAAAGACGATTGCAGAGCTTGTCCGCATTCCTTCGGATTATCTCCTGTTGGCTAATAACCTTTGCTCTAGAGAAGAAGGTAGCTAGGGGCTGACGACGCGCCCGGTAGTGTTCGTGCTCTGCCGTATGAATCGTTGGGCGTTCGGGTCCCCAGGCGTCTCATGCCCACGTATGTCTATCCCAACGGCCTTCTTAGTAGTATAAAGTGTTATAGAACAGAGGGTCACTGATATGAAGCTCATGAGGACTAATCCGGATAATCGGACCTAGATCAACTGAAATCACACATGTTAGATGAGAAATGACAGTGTGATTGTTTTAAGTGGGGGAACACCGTATTTCCTATGCACCTCGTGTATTTTGAATGTGTACTGGCCGTTCTGGACGACGTCGTAATAGCCTTGAACCATCGTGTTGCTGCTGCTAGCTTTGGGCCGGGAAACCGAGCAAGAGGGTGGAGAAATAGACGATAGATTACGATGCCTGAAAGATACGATGAAATGATAGTGGCAGTAGTCGGCCATGACACTACGCTACCCAAATATTCCATTGAAACTTCATCAAAGAGAAACATGTCACTTTTAAACAATTGAATGGCAATACAGAAGGACGGGATATGAGTGACGTCGAAGAGAAGGTAACCTTCAGGTTACAAAGCGGGATGAGTGCGCTCATGTGCAGGAACATTGCTCGTTCCAAGCAGCTGCATATGTACGGGCCACATCATGCAACAATCCTATCAAGATATCCCATCGCCGCCCGAATTAGAATCCGGCGTTGGCTGTATGCTTGCAACTATTTTGGTGCTCGGCACCGATTAAAAGGATGTCGGGGGTAATGGCTTTAAACCGAGAAACTAGGCCGGCCCGCCTCTGATGTATTATACGGAGTATCTGTTTATACACTGCTACCTGTCGTACAGGGCAATAAAATGTCATGATCATTTATATCTAGAGATCTATCCCCCTTCTCTCTTCATTAAAGCTCACATCTTAGAAGAGAATTCAAAATTACTAGCAAGTAAATAGCCAGTTATGCATTTTAGATAATTGGAATAAGCCTACTGTAGGTATTATATACTTGTCCAGATGTTGCTTGCATCATTCAGCAGTGACTAAACTCTGAGCAGACCGTTTCAGCCTATCACAACAACTGCGTGTCTTTGATGTAGACGCTAACCCAAATACCTAGATCCCTGGAAGGATGCGGGAAAGGATCCAAGATCGCGTAGCATCCGAACAGCAGGGATGATGCTACAGGTCGGAAGGATGATAATTGTTAGCGTGACACTATAATCCAAGGGAGTAAGAGTACTGTTGTTCATAAGGCTGTTATACAATTTTTGGTGGAAATCTTGCTGTTGATCAGTCTTGAAGCTGTTTTGCCACTCTAAACCCCCTGCCTACAAAGTATATTCACAGAAATCTCCTACGAAAAACCCCGGCCTGTACAAAATTTAGCGTTGCGCTAACAATTATCATCCTTCTGACCTGTACTTGGAGCTAGATTGGAGTGCTAGGGTAGTCTATCCGGGGTTGTGGAGCAGAGATTCACTACTTACGAGTAAGTAGGTAATTAGGACCGGCTTAGGCTCGGGATTCTAGAATAAGTCTACAGTGACAAGTAAGCAATTACTCCGAACTATTATAGGAAACATATCTTAACCTTAGCATTTATAAAGATATTGATTAAGGGGCTGACGACTGTCGCTGCCATACTTTCTTTGCTAGCCTTCGTTTACAACGGTCTGAGCATAAGCTGGATTAATAGATAATAGGTTGACCTTCAACCCAAGATAAATCTATTCCAATTGAAGTAACTATATAACAAGATAGTAAATATCAAGGAAACAAAATTGGTATCTATAACATATCCCATCCCATCGAATGTTAGACCTGAAATACTCATATCAGCCTCTCATGTGCCGTTTTGCCTAGAACCACGATTTGCGCCAGCCTTTATTCACAATCCCCGTATACTTCCCAACATCCCCAAGACAATTCATACGATGGAGGAAGCGCTACCATCAGCCAAACAAAGTTAACACCTCTCCGGGATGAGTCACACCTCTAGCTTTTCCGAGCACTCCGACGTCTTGACGAAACCTCGCATGCTGGGCTCGCATATAACGTAGCACTGCAGAAAAGTCTTCAACTGTGTTACCGTTTCGATTCACTGCCGCGGCTTCGTTGTATCCCTTCGCTTTTATGAATCCGCTGTGGATGCCAACAACAAGGCTGTTGACAATGACTGGGCTGCCCGAGTTCCCTAGCATAGACATTAGTCGGCTTGCCTCGATGATAGTGGTACCACTCACACCTACCTTCGACTGTATTTATCTTGTGCTGCATTAACAGGACACCGTTCTTCTCCCGACAGTATACCGAGCCCGTGGACGAAATGAGACGTTTTCCAGGGGAGATTTCAGGCATGTCCTTGGGAAAACCGATAATCAATCCATCCTCATCATAGGACGGGCCGGGTCCATTATGACACCTGGGGATACGGACCCCTGAGTCGAAAGGCTCTTCGACGGCCACCATGCAGAAGTCATTCTTGGTCCATCCCCCTTTCCGCTCAAGTGTCTTGATATAGTTGACGTGGCAGGCAACAGCGACGCACCGCTTGCCACGATCCCCGTATCTGCCCTGGCGCTCATCTGGGGAGAGGAATGCCGACTTAGCAGGACCCAACTTCAGGTCGAACATGAGGTGAGCCGAGGTCAAGACATGGAACTTGCTAACAGCAAACGCAGTTCCTGTTTTCTTAATCCATTCTCTTCCACTTTTGAAAAGTGATGTCATTATGAAGACGCCTAGTCAAGGTTAGTTACATCAAGTATGGTATCATGGACTTTATGTATAGTTAGAAGCAAAACTTACCACTGTACTCTTTACCCTGTTTTATTGACCCACGGTCCACCACACCACGTGGAGTATAGGTGACGATGCCCTCGCTCTGAATTGGGTGTCTTCGGGAAGTGAGATTCCAAGCCGCAATTCGTGCTGGGCTTTTCGAGCCCAAATTGGTGAATTTTGCGTAGGGTAAGCTGGCCAAGTAATACTCGAGGTGCTTGTACTCCTCTGCTTCCTCAGAATTTGTCTGCGGGTGAGAGTTCGGGCGATTGGAGCTAGATACAACAAACCGTGAATAAAATGGTGCCAATTCCATGGCTGGTTGCTTCGCCATCTGAGTTGCTCGAAATCCCAAAAAGATCTATAAAGTAAGGGGGGGCTGGAAGGTGAATAGTATGATCTGGTGGTGGGCGATTCTCGATTGGCAAGATCAAGCAGGTTGAGAGACGTGTCTGGCCTCCGACGATTAGGATTTGTCTCGTGGGGTGGTGAAGGATGCTGGCACAAGAGACACAAGAGAATGCAAGAACTTGAAAGCAGAGGGAGGAAAGATTACAGATATATATAATAAACACATTGTGACGAACTTCCCCAGTCTACGAGGGAACGTGGGAAAAGAGTGACGGCGCGGTCGCGAGAGAGATATACAGGGGATCTCTGCAAGGATCTCTATAGGAACCTTGGCAAGAACCAGGGTCAAATGTACTACTAGTATTAGGTTTTAGGTCAACTAGTAAGTATATACTTATACTAGCCAAGAACTAGTACCTAGTAAGTAAATACTACTAGTATACTAGTTGTATTAAGCATTAGTTTCCAATTAGGGTTAGTTATAGATAAGATGGCATTAAGCCTAATTGGGCAATTGTTCTTTTCTTTTTGATTGTTCCGCTGTTAGTCCTATATATACCTCCTGTCAGCCCCATGCATAGCCATATACACACTGTACACAAGCCACATGCTTAACCACTGCATTTTCATTAAAATTTTGCGGTCAGTAGCTTTTAAAACGGTATGTACCATGTACCTAGGTAGCCAGTCGAGCCAGTCAGACCTAGCCAATTCAGCCCTACCTATGTACAGCTGTTGTTAGCTTCAACTACACACACGCTTCCAACAATAGATTCACGCCACCCTAAACCGTCTGATAATAAAGCTGTAGCCAATCATATAGGTTTTTTTTTTTTCTTGATAAGGTTATACGGGGTGTCTATAACTCCGGGTACGAAAGCAAAAGATACCTAAGGTGACGGTACGCAAATAGATTGTAGGCAAGAGAGAAAGACAAGGTAGGGGACTATCGGTTGTTTTATTCGGGTTGCTCTCCTCTATTGCATAAGTAGGGAAGGAGATAGCTATATACAAATGTAGTCCACAATCCTCCACACTGGCTGGTCGTCACTGCTCAAACTAAGACCACCTACCCAGCAAAAGTTGACAAACGTTAACGGGTATATAATTGTGTATACAGCAATAGTGAAGCCTTTGAAGTAAAGTATGGTGGTGGTCAACAGGGGTCATAATTGTTAAATATAAGCGATGGCATGTAGAATTCAGTGTATTGATTGATGTTGTTGTTCTTGTCTGTCTGACGCGCCTGCTACGCAGAGATTTTACGAGGGCCCTGGTCTTCCTGACGTGGGTCTACCCTAAGGTCCCCGTTTACCCAATATCCTGGCTTAAGATATAACCCCTTATATTTGACAGTTGATCAGTCTCGAAGGTAGGTAAGTCCTAGGTACGCTATCCTTATATACCCTTGCTGTCATTTACAACCCCTTTCACTAGGTATTATTGTCAAGTATAAGGGGTTATATCTTAAGCCAGGATATTGGGTAAACGGGGACCTTAGGGTAGACCCACGTCAGGAAGACCAGGGCCCTCGTAAAATCTCTGCGTAGCAGGCGCGTCAGACAGACAAGAACAACAACATCAATCAATACACTGAATTCTACATGCCATCGCTTATATCTGACATCAACAGTACTCTTACTCTCTTAGAAAATAGCGTCGCGCTAACAATTACCATCCTTATGACCCTAATGCACCACACTTTACATACCGTAGTATGTAGGTTGAAACAGCCTAGAAACACCGGGGACCTGCTATGGCGTACCTAGCTAGGTAGCTTGAAATAGGTATGCAGGAGCGGGGTGTGGCCGATCTACCTAACTCCGGGAACCGACATGGAGGGTGGACTCCGTTTCACAGCCCCCAATCCGCAAACCATTGGATTGGCTACGTTACATAAAGCTTCGTTCCAACATTATTCTTACCTATGGACAAGCTTTCTACAAATAGTTCTAGATTGTTGCTGGTCACACCGACAAATCTACTTCCCCTTGTGTGGTTCTTCTTGGTGGAACGTACCTAAGCTCGCTAAGTAGGTGCCAAGGCAAGATGAGTGGGACATCTGTTCGCGACTTTGAGGTACGTCTTCCTCGGGAATCCTGCTCTTCCCAGAGGTAGTTTTCTTCTTTTTTTTCTTTCTTTGTGAAGTGCCGAAAGGTGTTGTTGATGGACGAATCTAACTGTGTCCTCACTCGAGGCGCCCCAGTTCGCGCGGGCATGTGCCAATTTCATGTGACAAGCCAAGCTCGCCGTACCTGACATGACTGCATGAATACCACGTTCGAGGCGAATCTGATTGCCGTAGGCTTAGTTGACACCGTCAAGACCGATGTTAGTCGTTCACTCCCTCCCCGAGACTCCGACTGATTCTATGTCCGCTGCGCTTCGATTGCCCGCCATGTTTAGCTGACAGAGCGAGTCGGTGTCAGTCATCTCTCGGATAAATACAGAACCGCCAAGACCTGAGGTAACCGTCCTTCGACACACGTTGACGCCAGCGGCCTTGTCATCCGGAGACTTCTACAGGCCCTCGAGAAGCTTGGCGTCGTCGGACACGATGAGAAACCCGATAAGCGACGTATCACCGCCGCCGGACAACGTGATCTTGACCGTATTGCCCAGACGATAGTTGAGGGGCAGACCGAGAACGACGATGAGAGTGACTGGGCGGATAATGTTGAAACAGACTACGGCTCGCGCGGCGAGGGAGTAGCACACTTGAGAACATCCCGTAGGATGAAGATAACACATCGATTGGGCTTGTATCATGCTGAAATAAGCTCGTCAGATACCGCACGGCGTCTGAAGCCTTCTGTGTGTAGCAAGTAGGACCTGGATACCCCAGCATACCGGCAGTAGGTCCAAAGAAGATCTCCCCATACATAGCCACACCTCTCTTACTAGCAGGAAGGGTACTGTATGGGGTGAAGTATGAACCTTGTTGTCACCCACAGGCATACAACATCTATTGTTATACAGCAGGTTCCCATAGGTAATGAGACTGTAAACCCTTCCACTGAACCCATTTCTGATCTGCTTATATCGCCTATGACGCACCCCATGCGAGTTTTACATGACTGCTCTCGCGTATCCAGGACCGAAATCTTCACTTACACCCCTGTTAACTCTTGCTGTCTTTGATTTTAGGTGTATAAGCTTCCGTCTGCCTTTGTTTCGTTCCTTGTTCAAACACAACGTCCATATAACAAAGCTGAGCACAATGCCATTGTTCTTATGACAGGATATCTGAGACACCAAAATTGGACAGCCTTACTTCTACAAGTATCTGTGTTGATCTGGAAAGAAACACTGCAATAAGAATATAGAACAGCCGTGATGTTTAGGAACATGGGACTTGACTACAGGTCAAGCTGTTTAGGTTTGTAGTATATAAATTTCCACGAAGTTCTTGGTGAGCGGCTTCATTTTTCTCTCATCATCCAATATTATCACCTGGATACATCAGATCTCAACTTCAACAAGATATATTACACAGCGCACCAATTTACTAACAGAGGTTGTCAAGATGAGCTCTACTCGTACTCCTCCTACCACTCCCAACAGTGAGAACACCAGTGTTCCCTCTGGTTCAAGTGAACCAAACACCATCGAGCCTGTGCCCGTTGCAAACGCTTCAACCGAGTCTAATGGCCAAACCCCCAGTACTTCACCACCTCTTGCCATAGAGGACTCATGGGAATGCTGTTTCTGCGGGGAGAGGACCGAGCACGGTAAGCGCAATTGTCAAGCCTGTGGCAGGGGAAGATGTACTCTTTGTCTTACATTTGCCGGAGCTTATGATCACATCGAGGACGAGGCACTCGCTGTCAGAATGGCTGAAGCCCTTTTGGATACGCTGGGCTGGTCGACCTGCCATTGTGGCGCTGAAAACCTTCCTGATGATGGCGCGCCTTGTTGGGTTTGTAGTCATAGGGAAATTGTCTTCGTCCCCCCTCATCGGCAGTCACGTCGACTTCGCACCCCCGAGTAGGACATTGACAACTGTGCCGACATCATGCTTTCTCTTTACCACTGCGTGTTTTATTGTTCTGCAATCGGTCAGGGCCAAAGTGTATTCTTGATAACAATAGCGTTTGCCAAAGATGCACCTGCTTCAAAAAGGCCATATCTGATCTAGCGTCAAGAACACTATGACAGTAACTGCGCAGGTAGATTGAATATCTAGTATAATACCCCCCCAAAAAATTAAAAAAAAAATTGAAAATAATCAAAATAAAACTCATGCGATACTCTTTTTAAGTTTTTTTTTTTCTTTCACCATTTATGTAAATCTCTCAGAATTCGAGTGTAAACTAGACGTAAGCAACACCAAGATCATGTTTAAATATCTAGTGAATAATAGAACGGCTTATGGTTAAGCATGATATTGTATTCTCTTTTCTTTCTTGTTCAACATTATACTGTAATGCTTTGATACCTAGGTAGTCTTTGTTATTATTTGAAGATTCTTGCCAGTGTATGTTAGTTAGATGACATCCACAGTTCCGAGGGAAGATTGAGAAGAAGTATTACGTCATGCGGGGCAGCGAAGATAGTGAGACATGCCCCCCAAGCTTCACCGTTGGTGATATTTATGCGAAGCACCATTGAGGCGGCTGCGTAGATACTATATGTCTGGGAAGCGGCTTTACATAGTAAGTCTAATATGCATCAAATTAAGGCAAGGTATTGACAGGAAATATCCCTTGGCCTTCACCGCTCTAAACCAACACGTTTCGCCATTAGTATGGTAGCATTAGCAACGTGAACTCATAAGCATCCATAACACGGCTCTGTTAACCACCCCTCCCCACCACCCCGGTACCGAAGATCACTGCAAACACGAGCCTTGAATGTAGGGGTTGGACATGACGAAGCTTGTTTCCTACCATGTCGAGTCATGTCTCTATCATTGCCGGCTTTCCGGTCAGTAAGGTGAGACCCTGGAATCTGGGCAGGCTAATCTAGCCACACCAGACCACGACCCTGGCTGCATTTCTTGGCATGCTTTGCATGCTTGGGTCGAAGGGCTGAACGCCACGACGTCATAGCGCATCCAACAAAGATCCAGGCACGCTTGCGTGCAAGTCGCCCTTTTGTCAGTTACCTGTGTTACGCCATAAGTCAGAATTTCATCATCATAAGATAGGCAGTCAATAGTTCCTGCCTTGGTGAGTATCTTATCTACGTAACAAAGTCCTACTCTAGGCATATATAAACCGGCTGCTTTCGCGTCTTCTACATCTCAACCATTCATCTCTCTCCTCATCACACAGCAAGCAAGCAAGCAAGCATTAGCAAACCACCTATAACCAAATCACCAATTTAAATAACTTCACCTAAATCAATCATCATGGACGCTCTCAAAAACCTCGGTGGCAACAAGGGTCAGGGAATGACCAGCAACCAGGCTACCACCGCTCCCGCCGGCGGCCAAAAGGACGACTATGGTGACAAGGGTATGTTTTCCCTTCATTCCTTCATCTACCCATCTCCATTCTCTTCGTGTGCCATGTCTGCGAATAACTCACTCGGACTGGGCTTCAAGTGTGAGGGATCACAGCTAACTCTTACCAGCCGCCCAGTACCTCAACCACAAGTACAATAACGACAAGCTAGACCGCAGCCAGATGGAGAAGATTACAGATGGCGCTCGCGAGGGCTTTGAGAAGCTCACTGGGTAAGTCTTGCCGCTATCGCCGCGAATTCTAGCGTAATTCTAGAGCTAACACTCTTCCGTCTATAGAAAGAATGTCCCCTCGAAGATCTCCAACTAGATCGTTTTAATGATACCCACGAACGTAATGGAAGCCTGTGTATTAGTACGGTGATTGACGGAATGCTGGAATTGCAGGGGTCAATTGAATAATTACTATCAATAATAAAGAAAACCCTTACCAATATTCTGATTATCGAGATTGTCAAGACGTTCCTGTTCAGTTACAATGGAACATGTGATACCAGATTCATTTATGTTCTTAATGGAACCCTCTATTAACACAATATGTACTTAGAAGGTTCCGTTGCTGCGTCTGATTATTAATTATAGCGAAGCCCACGTGCAGTACCACATAATAAAAAGTAGCCAGCATGTCGAGTAACAGAACCCAGGTTGATCAACACGGCATAGATCTGATAAACACATTCTAAGATGGAACGCGGGCGCAGCCGAAGCACTCACTCGAACGGATCGGAGCGTTACGTCTGCTCGGTGGCTAAGTGCACCTTGATGCCATTCCATAAGCCACTCTAAGTTGGCAAGCCAATTACGCACTAGAACCTTATAAAGACGAGAAGCACATTACGTTTCTGAATCTGATCAACATTCCGAATCGCGATGCGACAAAAGATATTTATCGGCCGAACATCCGCCTGCTTCGCACCACAAGAACAGGTGGCTCGCGTGAGAGCCACGGTGATTAGGCGTGATCCTTATCCCATCAATTCATCGCACTTTGATGTGTAGATAGTATATCCTTTCCCATTACCACGCCTGGCGATCGATAGATTATGTACCTAGTGTCTTTCATCGGATCACTTCTATTGTCAATGGATTGGCGGTAATTACGAGCTTCAGACTGACACTCCTAGCCAATTCCGGATCAGTACACGAATAGAGTTGGATCAGCACAATACTTAGACCTCGCGATGTTGAGAGAAGAGATGAATCGTCAGTGATAATCTGTCAAAGTCCAGCATCGTGAGAGATCTACATACCTCCTAGGTAGGCGAGGAGGTAGAGGCAAGCGAGGCAAGATAAGGTTTGGGTGTACACTTACCCGAATAGGCTAGCCGATTGCAACTGGAGAAGTGGGTCGTCAAACACCAATCACAGCCGAGAATCCAATCCACGCTGCCATCATTGGAAATCAGCTCAACCTCTGTCGAAGCTATTCACAGCTTCATCTCCAGCTGTCACGCTTCGCGTCTTCCATCTTCGACCATCCCTCGTCCCACCCCTTCGCCGCATACAACAACCGATCCAATATGGCCACTTCACGGGATGCCCGTGCTTCTACGCAGGAAGGCGGTAACAAATCAGATTCCAAGGAAACGCGTCTTCTCTGGAACCCCGAGAACGTTAGAGATGTAGCTGAATCAGTTGGCATTTCTTCCCTTAGCGACGAGGCTCTGCGCACCCTATCGCAAGATGTCGAGTACCGCATCGGACAAGTACTGGCCGAGGCCCTCCGATTCATGCGCCTTGGAAAGCGAACCTCTATGACTGTCAAGGATGTTTCCCTCGCGCTGCGAGTGCTGGACGTTGAGCCGCTTTACGGATACGATTCAACCAAATCGTTGCGATATGGAGAGGCGACAATGGGCCAACCATTTTTCTACATTGATGATGAAGAGGCCGACTTCGAGCGCGTCATTAACGCAGCCTTGCCCAAGGTTTCTCGAGATGCAAACTACACGAGTACGCAAACATGGCAATGCAATATTTCAAAGATGATTGTGCTAATCAATATTTTTTTTTTAGGTCACTGGCTAGCAATAGAAGGCGTTCAACCGACCGTTCCACAGAATCCTACATCATCAGAGGCACGATCACAAGATCTTCTACCCAAGGGACCTGGCGCCAACTCTGCTCTTGCGGCCTTAGCGGGACACGACAACCCCAATTTCCGACCTGCTGTGAAGCATGCTGTTTCACAAGAACAAATTCTCTTCTTTGAAAAGGTTCAGGCTGCTTTGCTAGATGACAGCCCCGATCCAGAGGTTCATCGACTCCGCCAAGCAGCTCTAGCCGCTGTCATCGCTGAACCGGGCACACATCAGCTCATGCCTTACTACGTCAACTTCATCTCTAATCAGGTCACGCATTACCTCGATGATCTATTTATCTTACGGCAAATGATGGAGTTGACGAATGCTCTAATCTCCAACGAACATATCTTCGTCGACCCATACGCTAGTGCTCTATGTGCACCCGTTTTGACATGTCTGTTGGGACGACGGCTTGGCTCTGAGAATGGAAGCGATGCTGTCAAAGAACAATACCAACTCCGCGAGGTTGCAGCCTCCCTGATTGGACGGATTGCTCAGAAATACTCTGGTGCAAACAAAGTTCTGCGCCCGAAATTGACTCGGTCCTGCCTCAAAGCCTTCCTGAACCCCAGCATGCCATCGCAAGTCTGGTACGGAGCTATTCTAGGCATTCTGGCGGCCGGCGGGCCCGAAGCTATCAAGGTTCTTGTGTTACCGAATCTGAAAGCGTTCGATTCGACGATGCTGCAGCCTTTGAAAGAGAAAGGCGAGGCAAGTCGTCTTGACTTTGAGATGGTGATTGGCGCCATTATGAAGACCGCCCAAGCACTGGCTAATAACGACATAATAATGGACGGCTCGAATGGGGCTACCAATGATCGTGAAGCCAGCCAGATCAAGGACTTCCTTGGCGACATCATTGGAGAGCGGATCGTCCGACTCGCCAACCACAAAATCAACCGAGATGTGCTGGATGCTATGGACTTCCAGTAGACTTGGAATTGCAGCGAGGCGCAGTTTAGATATGCGTTCTCTCCATCAGATAGGTGGCTATAAGGAAGATGGAGACTCGGATGAAACACTGAAATAAAATATGAGCAGAAGAGTGAAAGGGAGAAAGCGCGGATGTTTATGTCCACTTGAAGCCAAGAGATGGGTGAGAGGCATTTTGTATGGCGTTTGGTCAATACCCCCGGGTCATAGGAATGGCGTTCGATCTTTATTACGGGGCTTTTTTTCTTGGTGTCAATATGAAAAAGTTTATTACGCAAGGGGATTACAGGGTACGTGTATTCTTTGGGTGAGGGGATAATAACCTCGTTTTGGAATCGATATCATAGCAGGGGATAAAGGCTTGAGACAGGGAATATACAATTCTTGTATTTGTGCATGGGATACCTCCATTTTCATCTGTTGTTGCACCGAAGGTATCGTAAATCAACAGCTATAAATATGAAGCAGCTGTCTAGCCCTTAGTGTCTGAGCCGATGTAGGCAGACAAGGTCACATTATAAACCTCAACCTTGCACAGCTTCAAGCATGATCATAGTTTTCAATTTTTTTCCTTCCTTTTTGTTACAAATACTAGATCATTCCCCCTCCCCTCTCCTCCCTTCTTCACACCCCTCCCTTCCATCCCCTAGAAGAAATACGCAATCCCAGCCGCACCAACAAAGCTGCCCGCCCAAACCGCCATATTCCCCGCGTGGATAACAGGCCTCTTGTACCCCTTGCCCAGGTCCCAGACTAAATGGCGGCACGCGTTCATCAGGTGGAAGACGAAGGGCCAGGTCATCGCCATCTTCAGCGCCCCTTTGCCGGCCACGGAGAGCGAACCCGCCGCGCTCGCGAGCGTCGCCGACTCCAGGTGCCAGCCCGTCAGGGGCGCCGCGAGATACGAGATCGAAAATAGGTACAGCGCGGCTGTCATCCCGCCGCCTGTGATGCGCGTCCAGACTGAGGTTGCGAACCAGGTTTGCTTGAAGTCGTAGGCTGAGAGGTGCGGGGATACGGGGCGGCGCGTGCGCTGCGAGGCGAGGAGGGCTTGGGCTTCCTCTGGTGTGGTCTTTGTTGTGGTTGCTTTGCTGGGGGGTTGTTAGTGGTTGTTTGGGTGGGTGGATTTATAGCGGAGGGGTAAGAGGGATGGGAGCGTGGTGATTTGGTGCTATTGGTCTTGCATACCGCGTTTGGAGAGCGCCTAGCATCGTGCGTGGGATATTCTGGGCGAAGACATTGGGTCGTGCGACTAGAAAGTTTGAGGATGTGTTAGTGGATGTTTCTCTTTTCTTTGCTTTTCTTTCTTATATTCCGACTCCTTTCGATTGCTTTCCGTATTCAAGTTCCATATGTCTGTCTCCTGGCCTTGAACTCATAGAAGAGAATGGCGTGGTAATATTATGCGGCATCCATGATCAAAAGCTCTCATTCATACCTTGCTGCAGCGCCCTGACACCAACTCTTTGTACGTTCATCTTGACGGGAAGGAAGAAGACGCTCGTCCGATCGGGTATTCGATTAATGTGTATCGTCGACGGCAAGCGAGCGAGGCTGTCTTCGTTGCGCTGCGCTGTGCGTGATCGGATCGGCTGGTTGTTTCGTAGTCAGGTCCGTTGAATTGAGGTTTATCTCGATGCGTTCATTGGCATCTCGATTCCGATTTCCCGAGGTCCCAGCCAGCCAATCGGGACGCACCTGAATGTCAACTGCTTCCAATTGCTGGGCACTGTCACGTGCTCCTTTACAAACCACAGTCGAGAAGTGGTCTGTGCGTCATTTCCGACCTAGCGTGCAAAACCATCGCGAATCTCCACAGTCTCTTGTTTCCTTCTCTTCTCTTTTTCCCTTTCCTCAGATAGTCCGGAGCGTCCGACTGGCGATGTCTGGCTTCGTTCGGCATCGCACAAGGTCACGGACGGCTTCTTGTCGTTATGGATGCTTCCAGAGGAAAGAGATCCTTCGTTAATCTCGGCATCGAGTTTGTGTTTCCGTCTCGGTGCCGTTTCATTCTGAGATCTACATTCTACTACCTAGTGTTTTCCTACTTGTTACTATCTTGACCGTAGTTGGATGTAAATCATGTGTGCTTACGAGTCGTATGATTGATATTGATCAACATCGACGATTGAACTATTCGCTACACCTGGTTTTGATCTATCGTGTGATGCTATGTTGATAGCTCTGTGCTTTTCGCTGAGGCCCTTGCGCTGCTGTTCGTGATTCTACTTGACTGTCAGGATGAGAAAGCTGCATCAGTTACTATCTATTGGTCGGACGAACACATGCAGCGCGCCTCGAATGAAGCGGCTCGCTCTACTTCCGTCACCATGAAGAGGCCTTGAGAATGCGGCCCTGGCTGCACTACATTTTGAGCGCGCTCCATGAAACGAGCGCAACCTCGTGCACGCTAATTTGCTCGGCATCTCACTGGCACCGAACCTCCTACACACGTTTTCAACTCCCATTGGAAAGTCAACAAACGCCGCAAAACAGATGGCTTTCCTGCTGTGTCGGCTGTCTGTCTTGTCGAGTAGAAGCATGAATCCAGTCGGCATTTTGTTGTGTTATGAAAGCTGTTGTTGGTTTCAGATGCATCCTACTTGTCGTTCTTAGACGACACTTTCCGACGAACAGAGTTTCTTCCTCGATCCGCTTAGATGGGATTTCCGTCTATCTCTAATGCGGTGGCAACCTAGAATGCCAAAAGCCTTGGCTATTGCCGATGGTTCGTAATGTTTGTCGTCTGGATTTTACGTGGTCTGCTAAGTTGTCATGTTTCGATGGTCATAAGTCCGGTCATATACTTTCCTCTCCTGCCGAGATCGTCGCATCAGCCGGGCTGGTCGTGTTTCGGGACGCTTACAACCCAACCCAGATCGAGTTAGTTGCCGTTCTGGTGAGAGGGGCAAAATGTCAAGCTGTCTGCCTTACGTCGTTGCGACCTGCTCATTTCAGTCTCTCCAAACGCTTGCAACACACTTGACAAGTCTCTCTTATTCCTAATTCCCCAACGTCGCCTGAGCCTGAGCCTTCTTTCAGCTCCGGAAGGATCGCGGCCGGCTCCAGCTCAGCTCCGTGACGGAGGTGGCGCGAAGCTCGGCGTCAATTCTCCACGACAGCGTAAGGAGAGTGAGAACGACAGCAAACTCATCGCATGTGCCATATCCCCACAATCCAACATCAACCCTATGGAGTTATGAGAAATTACCCGGAGTTGCACATGCTACAGTGTTGCCTCCACTCCTGCAACATCGATCTGTACTAAGCCTTCCCAGGGGTAGGAGGGCAACTAGCCAGTGATCGCCAGATCTTCCAAGTACACCGGTGGCACAAACAAAAAAATTGTCCGGCCCTTGTACTCTCACTTCTGCTTTACATGTTTTATCAGAGTCGTTTCGAAAATCCGGGGGATGTCATCCAACGTCCGAACATGCTGAGGTCGGCTTCATTATGGCCATATTACCTACACTAAGAGCATGGGTGTGTAAGTGTAGTCTATAGTACGGAGTAGATAGTGTAGGGTAATCTTCACTGCCGGTACTGTTCGCACTAAGCCACCTCCAAGCTTGACCCGTCGTTCTCCAAGTGGCTCCGCATTTGATGCTTCACTGCTACCGACAATCGTGATGGCTCTTCAGATACAGCATTGTAAATCTACCACGGTAAAAAACGACGTCAAACTGTAACAGTAGCGATATGTCCCATCTCATTCCCCGCCAAGTAATATGTCTAAAAATGGAGGAACTAAGTGGGCGATGAAGAGAAACGATGCCATTGGTCGCAAAGTCCCAGCCAAAAATTGGCATGTCAACCCCTTGTATGGGAAATCGTACATCAAACGCACAATGTCGGAGGCTCACGCAACTGAGCCTCGCGGGCGTCACTAACCCGGGTTGACAAGTCAGCGGATCTAGACGAAAGATGGCTCTACTAAGGACGATTTTCATATGTCTGTTCGACTGATATATAATGCAAGGAGATGGTCCTGTTTATCGAGCATGAGAAAACACTATCACCATCAGCATCACAGCTTCGACAGCATCTTTACGAGCAGGGACTCACCAATTCACTTCATTACGACTAATAAATTTATTTGAAACCCCAATCTTCCACCGACAAAGCCAATTTACAGCTTTATAAACCTTTTAATACTATCAAAATGGTTCGATTCTCAGCTCCCGTTGCTACTATCTTGGCTTGTAAGTCTTTCCTCCTATCACTCTTGCTTTCTCTCCACCTTTTGCGATGCATAGCACCATAACCACAACTGAAAACTAACATTCTCCCCCAGTGGCCATGACAGTCACCGCCATCCCTGCCCCCGCGCCCGCTCTGCCAGACCCAGCCGGCGACGCCAACGTAGGCAACCAGAACGGGGGCCAATTCATCGGCGGGCAATGCATCAACAGCCTCGACTGCGCCTCGACATGCTGCGCGACCTTCGGGTCCATCGGTCTATGCTCGGGTCTCGGCGCGCAGTTCCAAGCGGGGAAGACTGGCTGCGGCTTCGGCGCCAGCGCCACCCCTGCTACACCGGACAACAACACGGGCAATGATAACTCCGGCAGCGATAACAATGACAATTCCGGCAATAATAACACTGGAAATAACGGCAATGCTGGCGGCTCGGGCACGGTCACCGTCGACCCCAACACCGCCGGCTCGCAGAACGTCGGCCTCGGCAACGGCTCGCAGTTCATCACGGGCCAGTGCCTGAGCGACGCCGACTGCGCCTCGGGATGCTGTGCCACGGACGGCAAGTGCGCGGCGCGCGCGGTCGTTGAGTCGGCGCAGGACGCGAGGGAGTGTGGCTTTGTTGGTACGCTTGCGCGACTGTAATTGAATATATAGTTGGGCGCTTCAATAGCGCTTTGTTATGTAATATCCTCGAAGTGAGGATGGCGTGATCTTACTCCCATTGGCGGTGCTTGATAACTAGTTGGGATGTATGAATAAGGGATAGGGGTATGGGAATTTGGTGCATTGGCGGAGTTTTTTCTTTATTTTTTCTTCAGGGTGCCTGATGAAGATTGTGGTCGGGATTGAATTGTGTTATTTAGATTTAGGTATTGAGCTTACTATATATAAAATGTTATACATCTATCGAGCCATGTAGCAATTTGCTCGTCTGTTCGGAGCGAGGCTAGAAAGGCAACAGGTTCAAGAAACTAGTACACACGCTGTGATCTCCTATATCTATGTTTTCAAGGAATGTAAGGAAGCCGTTGCATAGAGCCGACACCTCCATCTAAGCGAGTATAAACAGTGGCGCGAAAGTACGAGCTGTGTCGTCGTAAAAAGAGTGACGAGCTGTAAAACATATCTGCGATTGCTCACATATAAAGACATTCAGCAATGATCCTTTCCTCCCCACCGGCAATCCCATCGATACTGGTATGACAACCAAGGCAACCCATTCCGCAGCTCAGCATGAAGCGCCATAACATCAACCTGGCCTAGCGGTCTCGTCACCGCACCCTTCGACCTAAGTAACTCTACAAACTCAATCTTCTTCTCCCTAGCCCAGTACGCTAATGTCAAAGGGGATATAACGCCTCTGTTAACATCTGCTCCGCGACTAATCAGAAACTCCACCATATTCCAGTCCGACCTAGCCAGGGCGAAGAGAAGAGGAGTCTGGTCCGGCGCATCGTGGTCTAGTGATACATCCCTTATCCCGTCGACGCTAGCTCCGTGCTCAAGGAGCTTCTCGGCCGTTGCGATGAATTCGTTCTTGTCGTAGTACTCACCAGCATGCTTGAATAGCACGGTCATAGCCGTGTCTGGACACCCCGGACATTGCGGATCGGCGCCTTCGGAAAGGACGTATGCAACGAGGTCTGGAATGCCGCCAGCGATCAATTTCTGGAGGAGATTTGTCCAGGCTTTTCCACAGGTACACCGACAGCGCTCGTTGAGAGAAATATACCCCTTCTGCAGCAGGAAGACTAGAGCCCTCTTCTGCTCCTCGGCTTGCCTTTTCGAAAACCGGGTAAATCCCTCGTCGATCAATTGACCGGCTGACAGTAGTTGTCCTGTTTCTGTGATTAGGTATTCTAGTAATTCACATGATCCTGCTTTCATAGCTTGGCGTTGCAGCTCGACTGCCCTGCCTGTGGGCGAATCGATAGGCGTGCCATGCTCGACGAGGAGCTTGATGATATCTAGGGATTGCGTAATCGGCATTTCGGAAAGACAAATCCCTCGTTCGAGCAATTGTTCAGTGAAGACCACATTACCGCGCTCGCTGGCCGCTTTAAGGACGGACCGACAGTCCTCGTCCCCTGCCCCAGCCTCAATGAGTAATTCGCAAATCTGCCAAAAGCGATCCCATTTTCTCCATTCATGGCCCCATTGCAGCGCTGCCTGGATCGGTGTGGCGTTGATCTTTTTTTCATAAGGGCGGAGGCAGCATCGCTCGGCTGATACGTCGGCGCCGTGTTTGATCAGACTTCTGACGATTTCAACATCATCCTTCACTGCGGCAACATTGATCGCGGAGCCGAAGTGTTCATCGTATTTCCGAGACTTGACGGGTAAGTTAGGGTTGACGCCGTACTTGAAGAGCTTCTCGAGTAACTCGATATCTCCGAATTCAGCGATAGCGTACAGAAGATTTCCCAGACTTTCGTAATTGGGTTCAATGCGCGATCCATTATCAAGAAGCTTGAAGACGATGCGCCCCCAGTTTTCGCATATATTCTGGGCGCCTGCTTGGAGGTTGATGCTGTCCAGTGTTAGTTTGAGAAGATTAACGCCATCTCCATCGCTGTTTCTATGCGAGTTGCCATCACTCTCTTCACACGGGCCCGGGGAATTGTCTTTGTCTTCGGAAATGCTAACACCATGATCAATGAGAGCCTGGAACGTGTCCACAAGCCCATGCACGCAAGCGCAGTGTATAGGTGGTCGCATGTGTTTATCTAACCCATTCACATCAGCTCCAAGGCCAATGAGCATGTGCACGATCTCTTGGAGTTGTTTGGATTCAGTAGGACTCGTATTTCTGCGCCAGCGGAGTCTATAGCTCGGGCTCATAGCCACTTGAAGAATATCAGGCATGACCTTGACGATTTGGGCCGAGGAGGGGTGTTCGAGAAGCAAGCGTCCTGTGCCAAGGTTTAAATTTCCAAAGGCCTCCCGGAGGGCTTTCTCAAGGTATACCTGGGAAACCTCTGATGGGCTGTATAGATCAATGACATCTCTCTCTTCGTTTTTAATCCTGCCAAGAACCCTGTGGAATGGACCATCTATCTCTTCAGTTATAATCTTATAAGAATCTCTGTGGCGCGCAGCTACCAGGAACTTGATCCCGGCTATATGCTCTCGCTCGGCAGGTGATGCCGTTTTATTGATGATGTCAAGAATCTTAGGATGATTATGTTCGGCTGCCTCATGAGCTATTTCTCTCAGATAGCTGAGGCGCGTGTCTGATGAAGGACTAATGAGTTGGAGCATCATGTTGACAATGTCGACATGCCCGCTAGCGGCAGCCGCACGAGCAGCATAGAGAGCATTTGCTCCCAGATCTAACCCACTCTGTAAGCTAGAGGCCCCGTGACGATTGGTAAGTAGCCGCCGGACGTTAGCTTTGTTACCTGATAGTGCTTGGAGAATGATTGCCGCACTAGGCTCAGGCCATTTGGCTGTTGCGTGATGCTCTAAGAGCAGCTCGATTATGGGCTCGTTTCCCCAAGCCATCGCGAGAGCAAGGGGACTTTTAACAGCTTCCCTTTGCTCCGGCCATCTTACTTGGTCCCAATGCTGGTAGTTTTCTGCTAAATTAGGTACTTGCAGTGTTTCGTCAATTGCCATTTCAGGCCGCTTGGAAAGGATAAGCCGTCTGTCATATCAGAGTATGTTAGTTCATTCCATGCTAGCTGCTTTCTAGAGTCGCATAGGTTGTGGTAGTTGTATTTCGGGATCAAAAGTTTACATACTGTAGAATTCGTTAGCTCAGGAGGATAATCTATCTTTCTACCAACACGAGGCCTCGGGACCTGTAGAGCAGATTTGAATACGTACCACGATATCTTTGCGGCCAGATTTAATGGCACATTGCAACGCAAATCCAACGGCTACGTTCCGATCAAGGAGTAATTCAACGATTTCAATATTGCCATGCAGGGCTGCGATCTCGACCAAGGGCGGGCGGCTGTCGCCATCAAGGGGCATACCCTTAGATAGGAGATTCTCGAAGGCTGCTCTATTTCCTCGACTAGCTGCCAGTCTCCATGTGAACTTCCTCCCTTGGGGATAGTCACCGTCAATGTCTGGTACACCTTCGTTGCCTGCTTCTAGAGAGTCTTTGAATGCACGTTGGACTTTAGTTTCCACAAAATCTGCTTCTTTGTCGTATGCATTGACGCCCGGACCTGTAGGAGGCGCAGTATTATGCTCGGTGGAAGGCATCAATTTCAACACGTCGCCCGCACTGCAACGGATTACCCCATGGCGGGTATAATCAGGCACTTCTTCCAGAGTACCTAGCAGCATTCTGATAACCTCGTCTTGACCTGATATGAAGGCAGCCTCCAGAGCTAATACTGCCGCCTTTCGAGCCCCATTAGCTAGCAGATATCGGACGATATCGGCATGGCCGCGAAGACACGCGGACTTCAATGCAGTCTCTAAGGGATTAACGATGCTGCCTTTCAACCTCATCGCATCCTCGTCCACAATATCAATCGCATCGGGGGAATGATTTATCAGCAAAGCCAGCGTAGATAACCGGTTCCGAGACGCTGCGGCTTCGAAGGCGTCGAACATCCCATTTCGCGACGGTCCACTTCTTGCTCCGGCTTGGAGTAAGAGACTCACCACTTCATCGTGACCGCCGAGGGAGGCCGCCTTGAGCGCGGAGCCGTAGCGACCGCTGGAGTTCACGTCCGCCCCATGTCCCAAGAGCCATCGCACAGACGGGAGGTAGCCTCCTGCACAGGCCGCTTGCAGGGCGTTGCCGAAGCGACCACCTTCACTATTCACATCGCCGATACGCTTCAAAAGTCGCATGGCAACTATTGAGCCAGGCCGACCACTATATAAGGCTGCTTGGAGTGTATCATGCGGAAATGGCGATTCGGATTGATCCGTTGACACGTCTGACTTCATAGACTCTTCCTTCCGCTTTAGCAGCGTGTCCACCACTTCGTGGTGTCCATAGTACGCCGCTCGAGACAGAAGTTCATCTATGTTTGGGATCTCTTTCGCCCAATTTCTTTCCAGAAGCAGCTTCAAAGCAACGTTCTGATTCCCTATGAGCGCCGCTTGGAATGTGTCGGAAAAACGCCCGCTAGCACAGACGTCAGCTCCGTGGTTGACTAGCAATTCTAATACGGCTGTATGGCCGTTGAATGCAGCTGCTTGGGCCGGGTTCCCAAATATACCCCCTTGACTATTCACATTAGAGTCTGTCTGAAGCAGATATTTCATTGCTTCAAGTTGTCCAAATCTCGCGGCGAGATAGATGGCGGACACGCCATGGGTGTTCGTGGTATTCCAGTCAACCCGCTCGCCACTAGCCGCTAGATATTCGAAAATTGGTAGAATTCCATACACAGATGCGACGAAAACAGGGGATTTGGTGGCCGAATGGGCGGCTGCTAACTCTTTGATTAGAGTTACAGAGCTAAGTGAATTTCCTTCGACTAAATCCTTTACTTGATCGAGCCATAGCTCGAAACTGGTACTTTCCATTCCAAATACGAACTCTATGAAGATTTCATTAAGCTGTGCTACCTTAGTGTGGTCCGTTACCAAGCCATAATGGCGAGCCCAGTAGCAAGCTGAATATTGTCTGAAGGAAGTTTCATGATCATCAACATCATTGACGGCATTAGCACGTAGGTTGCTTACGCCCTCATCACATGAAAGGCGATCTAACGCATCGTACTCATCAAAAGGGTCTGGCTCATCGCCATGTTGAACCAGTTGCGCGAGACAGCGATGCGCTGCCATGTAGTTGATGTCGGAATAACAATATTCGGGAAGTGATTGGAAATATTCCAATACAGATGCATGGGCAAATGCATAGTATTGCGAACTGGAGTTATGTTCTAGAAAACTAGAGCACAAGTCTAGTATGGCATCGTCAGTGAGTTTGGGCTTGCTAGATGTCAGCACATATGTAGCATTGGCGTGTTGCTGGTATTGTCTCACCTCAATTAGAGCCATTATGTGCTCGTTCTCATCTATGTGCTCGCTTACGGCATCTATGAGTTCTTTCTTCGTTAATGGGCGCTGAGCCACCAGAAGCCATGCGAATATTCTTTTAGTCACTTGCTTCGCCCGTTCAGGGTAGTTGTTGATGTTCTGGTACATTTGGTCGAAAGTCCTCTTCAAATCTACCGGAAGCGTCTTGAGTGCAGTGAAAACATCCTGTTCGAGCTTGTACCTCTTCTGGTCACAAAGTTGAGTGAGATGTAGAGAAGCCCAAAGGAACATAGGCCCAGCGCCGTCGCTCAAGCTAGAGATAAGATGCTCCTTTAGCTCTAGGGATACGCGTCCCTTTAGTAGTCTTTTCGTTTCGATAGCGGCTTCGACACTGCGGGTGACGAACTTCGCTATATCAGGAGAGTTATCTGAGCCTGTAATTGGTATCGTAATAGTATCCTTGAGCCAAACAGCTACGTCAGCCACATCTCGACTTGAGATGAATACTTTGACTATGTTCGTGGAGTCTTCCACAATGCGATTCAATACTTCCAGCAGCTCGCGGCTGTCATCTAACTCATCGATCCCATCGAGATATATCTGGATCGGATAATCCGATGCCACAGATAATATGAGATCGCCGCATTCTTCCAGAGTGAGAGCTGATATATCCATCCCATCTTTCTTCGCACCTTCCTTACGCTGTTCGTGCTCTTCGAAAACAGCACGATGGACGCCGCCCCCCGTTTTTGAACAAGCAAGTTGTTTCAGAATACTGCCTAGAATGGTTGTCGGGGTTAAGGGAGATCTGCTGTTCGTCTTGGAACAATAGAAGTAGGCGATAGGTGCTGCATTCGTACCGGTACGCTCATTCCCGATAAGACTTTTCTCAACAGCGAGTGAGCAGAGTTTGCTTTTGCCGCACCCAGGGATACCGCGCAGCCATAGAACTGAGGATGAACTGGAGTAGTGCCACTGCTGGTATTCGGGGCGTTTGAACATCCACTCGCCTGTCCCGGGAAGAAGGTCGCGAAAGATCAGCTCGTGTTGTTCACGAAAGTTGGCGTTCCCAAGCCATTGCGATAGCTTTGACCACTCCTGTTCCTCTATAATCTCTTCAAATCGAGCAAGATGCCCAATGGCACGGGTCATGGGCTGCTCTAGAGATTCCATGGCTATCCTCATGGCTCGCAAACTGGCCGTATGTTCCGTTGTAGATGTATTCAATGAGCCCATCATATGGCCAATTCTAAAGACCTCTTCTCCTTCAACTACTCGGAAGACCGCGTGAAGTTCATTTTCCTTTTGGCGAATTGCTTCTAGCTGCGTTTCAAATTTTGAGGATGTCGCTACTAAGCTTCCTATGATTCTTTTGTGTGCTCCTTTCCGGAAATATTCCGTAGCCTTTGCAAGATATGTTAGTATTTCCACATAGAGTTTAATGACAGCTTCTTTGAGAAGAGTCCTAGATTCTGCGGTCGGTTCTGCCATGGGCGCAAGATAAATCGCTTCATAGTATCCGCAACGCGTTATGAGGCGTGAGACTACCTCTACGCCGTCCACCAAAGATCCGAAAAGCTCAATATCGCTGATCACCAATTGCAACAGGAAACGCACCCCAGCCCATGGCAGAGCCGCATGGGTGGGGTCATAAGTGACGATCGTGTCGCCGATTTCTTTAAACTTGTTGATCCAATGGGCGATCTTCTCCAAAATATCTCTGACCTTCCAGCGCTTCTCTATTGCTTTTTTCTGCTGCGCTTGCACGAGAGTTAGTAGTGCCTGTAATGGCGATTGAGGCTTCTCGCCGACAGCGCTGTAAGAGAGATAAGATTGATGCTCGACCGCCAGTTGACTCTGCGCAATGGCCCAGAGGTCCGTCACCACAAGTGATTGTGCACACATCGTATTAGCGCCGGTCTAGGTGACTGGAATCATCGAATTGGGTGGCGCTCAGCGTGTCCGGGTCGCATTTCCGATGAACATAGAAGATATACTTCGAGTCTGAATGCAAAACTAGAACGTTTGCCAAATTTGAGCCGCTCCTTGTTTTGACGGTGCTTAAAGAGACGCCTGAATGGCCCCGGTCGCCGCAGGACGGCAGTGCTCGCGCAGACGGGCAGTGCATGGTGGCGCGTCAACCCGATAACTAATAACGCGTTCCCATTGATCCGTCTCTGACAGTATCTGAATCCTTGAGAATCCTAGAAAGAAGGATGACTGCAGCAGCTAAGCATTCCAATGCCACCCCGGCTGGCTTGACCCCGCTTCATGCTTTGTGAGGGTTAGTACAGTAGGTTGTGAGGCTAATTGCGCGGAATGTACGAGACCCAGCGACAACACTTCAGCCCACGATCAGTAAAGCGACGCTTAATGAGAAATCAACGCATCGTCGTCTTAAATCTCGCTATATGGAAATAGCAACCTGCTTTTAGATGATTCTTAGTAAAGAACGATAAAACCTCAATTCAAATGAATATAACACTAGTTATCCGAGGAATCCGAAAAGCCACCATCTGACAGTTTAATTAGATACTAGCTTCGGGCTATTACCACATACTTCCAGCAGTTCAAAATCAGGCCAGAGGCGGGGTAAAAGAGCGAGGACTTCAAGATGACTACCAGGGACTTTTTGTATAAGCGGTTTAGATTAAAAACTAATTAGTGATGAAATCGAGTTAGTAAATACACAGACAGGTAGTTTAATTACTCCCATTTATAGAAAGGTGTCACATATTCGTGGTTTTCAAGGCTTTGGATTCTTCTTGGCGGCGCTGCATCCTCCCAAGGCTGATCGTCACTCAGTATCGTCGTTTTACCAGTCAAGATATTCAGTGACAGCGTTTCACCCGTAGAAGGCTTGCTAGTTAGGATTCTCACATTATTCAGTGATGACATTCGGCTGGCAAGAACTTTTGCCTGTTCCTGCATGTCGGCTTTCAGGTGAAGTATGTTCTCTTCTCCCCCAGGACAACGTCTCGAATTCAATGCACGTATTACCCCACTCACGTTGAATCTCAGACCCATATTGATAACAACCGTATTAAGACGTAGATTGTCATCTGAATCTAGGACTTTTAAAATGTCGGGGCAGATGAGATGCATCCGCACATGAAGGGTGCGAAGAGTGGGAAGAAGGGCGATGGCCGGGCAAAGATGAAGCTGTTGCTCCTCCCCTCTCCTTGGGCCAATGGGGCCGGCATTTAGATCAAGCACCAGAGCATTGAGATTCCCTAATGAGAGTAGATCTAGCATTACAGGGAGCGGTAGTTAGTAGTTATATTGGAAACTAGACAGGCCAATCTCGAACGGCCGCAAACATATTATTTCTCCGAGAGCTCAGTGGCCCAGCTTTAGCAATCATCTAGGCGCCTACCTAACAGATTATGATAATACTCCGCCGCCAATCATCATATTTTACGCAAAAGAGAAAGGAATTTCTAGCACGATCATTAGTTACACTAAGCCATCGATGTGGTAAAAAATGATAAACGGAAGTTCTAGGGCATCAGAAGCTAGTTTCGGAACTAGCTGCGGCTTAGTGAAGCAGAACCAACAACACTATTCTAGGCACCCAACACTCCCTCCCATTGGTTTATTGAGGATCCTCTCGGTCACGTGCCATTGGTCGGCCATTTGTACACAGCCTAACCTTTTTCTCACCTGTCTGCTCATGTTTTATCCTCTGTCTTAAGCTTCAGCTTTACGAAATTTCTGCAGAAGTTGTTGTCAATTAGATACGAGAGCTCTAATATAATGATCCGACCAAGCGAGCACTGGCAGGGTTTTGCCGATATAGACTCAGGTTCGGACAAATACAGGCGAATTGAACTTCTACTCTCCTCAGCAAACTTCGAATATCTGAAGACACGGGCAATAGAATCACGGAGGAAGCACCAACCTGACTTGAATGATGATGTTGGATGCAGTGTGGATTTGACGCACTTCACATCAGGTTTCAATAACCTAGTCCTGGAGCTTGCATTTTCAGATAATACATTCTGGATTGCTCGGATTCCGCACCAACCCTTTAACGATAGTGATGAAACCTCTACGCTCAGCGAGATCGCTACCATGAGGTTAATAAAAAGGCACACCAATATCCCAATACCTCAAATTTTCGACTTTGGGATGTCCACTCAATCGTTTGGTTACCCTTTCATTTTCATGGACTACCTAGGAGGGCGCACGCTTTCGAATGGGTTAGCAGTAACCATACCTCATCAACACCGTAACAAAGTAGCCAACCAACTGGCCAATGTTCTCGCAGAGCTCCAGAATATGACATTCAGTCGTATTGGGCGTATTTGGTGCGGTGATGACGCTAATCAGCCTATCGAGATTATACCCATGGCTTGGCACGCTTCGCCTGGCCCCCTGGATACTTCGCTGGAGTACTTTTACAATCAGTGACAGAGTGAAAACCGAGAAATGATTTCCTTACATCCGGATGACCCGAACTGGCTGACAGCATGCTGGGTATTGAAATCAACTATAACCCACATTGTGGTTGAGGACAGAGTTCGGGGCCCCTTTCCTCTATGTCATCTTGACTTACATTATGGTAACATGCTCTTTGACGACGAGTATAACCTGACGGGTATCATTGATTGGAGTAGTGCGCAGGCTGCTCCTCTTGAGCAGCTGTCGGTCAGTCCAGAGCTTTTTACCTTTCCAGCGTTATCAGATGAAGAAAATCGACCTATCGTCGAGTTTAAAAAACTGGTTATAGAGTCTCTAACGAAAATCGATGAGGCTCGAGGAAAGAAACCGCCCCTGGATAACCCAGAATTTGACATGGCCCTGATATCCAACCAATCCCCTCTTTCCTCCTATATGGCTTCAAAGAGTACGGAAATCGCGTACTGGCAGTATATGTCTTCACCAAGAGCAGGCCTTGTGGATGGCAAGATAATTGCAAAACTTCTATATGGAGGGAATGTCACGTGGGAGCAGTTAAGGGGGATTTACGGCTCCATGCCTCTCTTCTAGACAATTTTGAAGTGGTGTAGTGTAATGGGGGAGCCTATGAGCTAACAAGTTCAAAGAATTCCTGTCAAAAGTAGTACATGTGATCCCATTAGATTATCTAGAAGTCTAAGTTACAGTTATCTGGCTGGATGAAGGTCTTATATACAGTTTCCCAGCGTTCCAGTGTGTGGATTGCAAGTATCACCGCCTTCCCTTTCTGACAATTCCTCCCGAGCCGGTCGACCCAAACACAAAGCGCGGTACCGAAAGCATTGCGGCCAGTACATTGTCAGCCAAGGCTCACCTCCGGTGGAAGGGCTGGTTAAGCGAATCAAATCAAGATTTGCCGCCACCCGCTACCAGAGCTGCTGCTCTAATCAGGTTGCATGCGAAAGGAAGGGAAAATGGACGACCGGATCCCAAACTTCAAGTGTTGTATTGGAGCAATTGTCTGCCGTACATGTTGTCTTTTTTCGTCAGTATAGAAACTCTAATATTCATTCCTCAATCATTACAGAAACAGCAGGGCATTAGTACTGTCAGAGGTTTAGAGATAAGCCAAAGCCAAGGTTACCACAATTTGTCCAACACAAAGGATGGCCAGATAGATTTCCGTCCAGAATGCCGAAATGATTGATTGAGCGGACTGTGTGCGCACAAGACTCGCTCGCTCTATCGTACCATAACATTGGCAGTCCATTCTTTACCATAATTTGGTTAAAATATCAAGTTCCCGTACTAACGCCCGAGACATGACGTTAGTACATATTGGAACAAGGGTAGAGATGCGAACTTGATCCTTGGAACCTCCAAGAGTCTTTGGCCTTACGGTCTTACATGCATGTTTGAAAGAAGCTTCCGAATCCGCGACGGTCTCCACAAAACTGCCGATGCGATGCGTCCCTTAGCCCGCGCCGTGACATTCCTGCCACCGGAGCCAAGGCTTTAGGAGGTCTTGGGTCTGTAGATAGTAACAACAGGACAGCAATCACAAGGGAAGTTTTATAATACCTCAACGTAGTTGTCGCTTCCGTGACATGTATGTAGTAAGCAGCAGTATAATAGTCGAGGGCGGGAGTCCCTCTTATCTCCTTCTAATGCTCCCTGTTCTTCTCGTTTTCCCCCTTCTTCAAAGCCCGTCTATCTGTTCTTTCCTAACTACCTACCTAACTACTTCTCCTTATCATTCACAGGCCATGTCACAATTTCAGGGACCTAGAATTGCCATCATAGGCATTGGCAAGGTCGGCGCCGCGGTCGCCTACTCCATCATTCACAAGCAGATCGCCAGCGAAGTTCTTATCCTCGACGTCAAGGAAGACTTCCAAGATGCCCAGGTTCAAGACTTGCGCGACTCAACAAGCTTCGGCGTCTCACCGCGCGTCAGGCCCGGAACATGGAAGGAGTGCGGCCAGTGTGACATCATCGTCTTCACTGGCGGCACAAATCAGAAGGGCGGCGAGTCACGGCTCGCCCTCGTACAGCGTAACATCTCGGTCATTAATTCCGGCTTCGAGCAGATGAAGCCCTTTGGTGAAAACACCATTCTGCTGATGGTCACCAACCCCGTCGACATCATGACCTACTTTGCCCTCAAATACACAGGGCTGCCTCCGAGCCGTGTTTTCGGCAGCGGCACCATACTTGACACAACGCGCTTGAAGGACACGATCGCACAGCGGGCCGAGGTGGCGCCCCGCGCGGTGCACACATATGTCATCGGCGAGCACGGCGACTCACAAGTCATCGCATGGTCCAACATGGCCATCGGTGGTATCCCCGTTGACCAGGTATTGCCGCTCGGCGGCGACGAGAGGCACGCTGTGGCCGAGTTCGTGCGTTTCAAGGCGGATTACCTCAACAGGATCAAGGGTGAAACATCATTCGGTATTGGCGCTGTCATCTCGTCTATCTGCTCGGCGATCCTTCTTGATGAGCGGAATGTCTTACCTTTGAGCCACTTCCAGGCAGACCATGGCATTTGTTTCAGTAAGCCTGCCATACTTGGTCGTGCCGGTATCCTAAGGACGTTGGAGATCGAGCTAGAAGACGAAGAGGCGGCTTCGTTGGAGAGGTCAATTGCCAAGCTAAAGGGTGTTATCGTTGGGACGGAGAGTCCGGGACCAGTCACTGAGATGAGCAGTAGGCTGTGATAACAGGATGCCGGCAGATGTTGAGTATTAGACAGAAGTGTTGGATTGAAGTTATGATCTCTGTAAATAAGTATATTGAAACCATTCCTTCATTAGCGATAGCCTGGAGCATTATTACCAAGATCAACTTTGTTTTTTATCGTATGGCAAGTCCATTCATAGTTCACTCCTTGTCAGCTATAATACACCTTAGTTATCGGGAGCCCGTCTTCACAATACTGGTCAGAACCACATACACAGCTTGAGAAGTCGCAAGGGCTGTCACCCTGTCTCGTGACGGGGATGGCTTTGGACAGCCCGCCGTCAAGTGAAAGGAAAATCAGACCTTCAATACTAATCTTCCGCTGTCAAGCAGTCTATATTTCCCCTACACAAGTCGCAGTTCTAAGCGACATTGACTCCGGGACATTATTTTCGCTGTTCCTTGAGACTGGAGCAAGCACGTCACCTAGACATTGGGCTTTTCCCACTATCTTCCATACTTCGCCCGGGCTCTCGCTCAAGCCTGCGTGGTTCTTGGGACCTTCGCCCTGGGGGATCCCCCAGGGCTCTAAAATCCACACTCGATTGGCAGTCCAAGGCATGTCGAGGAGATCTCGAGGTATAGCAAGACGCGCCCGCGTTGATATAAATGGGTATCCCTGGCGGATGGTCGGGCTGTGGATTATTGCGGCGCCGACATCGTTATTACACCTAATTCGCGCCATCCAGGGCGACATCACACGCGCTGAGCGGGGATCCTTGATGAAGCTAATGAGTTTTATAAGGATGTCCAGGTAACGTATATTCGTTGACTCTGCTGGAGAAATGTGCTCCAGAAGTTTCTTGGCTGTGTCCCGGTGTGAAGCATCCGGTGTAAAGGGCTCTGCCAGGTTATCGTCAAACGACGTTTGTAGGAATTGCTTCTCTACTGCCTCCCATAAATGGCAAATGTATTCTAAGCCACAACTGCATGAGTTGACCAATAAATTGCGCCGTGACGTATCTAGTTTCTCGTCTCTCTCAGCTGACGGCCCCCATGGATTCTGGTATTTATCTTTATACTGTGGCTTGTATTCGACTCGTGCGGATACGATAGGGTATTCAGGGAGAAACTCGCAAGTCAACTGTAGCTCTTCTTCGCTTGTATTGACAATGGGTGTGTCAAAAAAGACTAGGTCGAGTTTGATGTGATATGGAGAGAGTCCGTGGATGTACTTAATACCCCCAATAGTAAATCTCCTTGCAACTGGGTCCGGTTGTGCGACTTCGTTCGATAACCATGAGAATGTGCCATTTTTCTCGCTTAGCTGTAACATCTCCCCACTCATTGAGGTGAGCGGAGTCTTCTCTCCTGCAGCTAAACAAAGAGCAGATACGAAGAAAAGGGCGTCACTGGGATCAGCAACTCCAACATCTTCTATCTTTGATTTAAGAGCCAAACGCGCCGAAAAGAACAACGCCAAGCCACTAACATTCATGGTAATGGATATCAAATCTTCAAGGCGACGGCATTGGCAAATCGATGCGGCATTGAACCGAGCCATGATTGAAGACCTTTCAACGCCTTCCTCGCGGCGAGCTGGATCAAGATATGGGGATAGAGTGTTGGCCATTAAGAGCCAACGATATACCCTTCGAGATCGATCAAGAGTATCACCATCAGTGTATAAATCACTACTTGCCCTGATGTTAAAAAAGGCAGCGAGTTTGAAGGTGAAAGTACCTCCTTCACAGTTTGCTACTATCATGACTGCACCATGGATATAAGGATGCGCTCGGAAATCGCTCCAAGGCTCATTTATCTCAAACTCATGCCAGCACCTTCTCCCTGCATGTTAACGCAATCGCCCTTGTTATCGGTACATAACACAAACTTACCAGGATCGTGTCCACCACCGTGAAGTTTCAATCTTATCCACAATTCTTGAAATGCGTAGTTTCTCATCTGGCAGGGGCTTCCAAGCTTCTTGGTCGTGGCTTGTACGTTGCAAGTAGGGCTCGTATCTCTCAAAAATTTGGATCTCGTCGGGATATAAGACAACATCTTCAAGGACAATCAAGAGTTTTCGACAGCATTTATAGATGATGTCCATCATGGCGATACTTCGCGCTTTCTCTTCGGGATTATCCTGTGGAATGCACATCTGATCAATCCAGATCCCTTCGCGGCGGAAATTCACGTTTTGAAGGTTGGGGTCTGGGGTAACCACCCCTCGCTGCCCTAATATCGCATCAACGAATGGTCGGCTAATAGGCCATGGTTCATGAACAGGCATCTTCGGGCCAAGCCAGGTGTCATCGCCACCCTCAGATCTCCAGCAGTAGCTGACTGCTAAATACTGCCTGAGGACAGACTCTTCGTCGAAAGGCACGCCACCAGTGTCACTTTCGCATATTAGTCGGAATGGGACTTTGTAGATTAGCTCGGGCGTTCGGAGACCGACGAAAGAGGCTAACTCGGGCGACCATGTTTGAAGATTCCGCAAGATCAGCTCTGCTTCATCGCTGTTGTCATTAAGACGTCGCACCGCCTCTGAAAAGAAGTTGATGCGATTCTGACGAGATACCGTAACTCGATATAGATTATCTCCAAGCGGATGCACAAGTGGTGCATTATCTTCGGACTCTGAGCACTCCATTTTGCATACAAATGTTGAAGTGTTGGTATGGAAGCCTCCAGGACTGGAGGTTCTGGCATCCGAAACTGGAATCCCCCATACCACGTTTGCCCCACAGGGCGGAAACCTTCGCATGAGCCTCACCCGACGAAGTTTGGACGAGATGAATGATCGCGGCCATTTTTATAGCGTTTACCACATAATTGAAGATATAGAAATTCTAATCCAAATAATACGCCTAGGTAAATGTTGTTCATACCAATAGCTTTATTTAGAATGTCTTTTAAATAGAAGAAAGTGAATGTTATTTAAGAAGTTACTATTAATAGAAGCAAATGACTGTGGCTATACGGGGTGGTAGGAAAACGGATAATAACGGTCAGCTTTCACATTAAACAGTAACTAACGGTCGCATCATCTAGTACCATACGTATAAATTCTATATCACCCTTAAGGGGTATATCTAATAGTACTAATAGGATTAATTCCCGTTCCACCTTTTAAGAATTAATTATAATAAAGAGAATATTTAAAATGGATTAAAATTAATTATCGATTTTAATCCTAATAATATTAATCTAGGATTAAAGTTATTTTTTAATCCTAAAAGATAAAGAATCTTAATTAATTTATAAAATAAACTTTTTAATATATTGATTTTAAGTTATAGCTATTATTATATTATTTATTCCTATTATATATTTAATTATAAAGTAAATTAAAGCATTTATAATTAAATATATAAGTATATTATTATTAATGTCCTTAAATTTAAAAGGGAATGAAATGTTTTACCTATTAGTAAAGGTAACCTTTACTATACTTTATATAATTATATTTTAAAAATATAAGCTAGGATTAATATTTAGCCTTTAAAGATATTTAAAAAGTAGGAAAAGGGGTTAATCCTATTAATTAAAGAGCCCTTTAAGCGGATTTTTATAAATATTAATATATAGGCTATATACTTTAAAGTTATTAAATAAAGAGTAAGGCTTAAAAATAAAGAAAAAAGGAATTAATTTATCCTTTATTTATAAATATAAATTATAGCTATAAAGGTTCTTATTAACTTAATTATTTATATAATCCTTTTATAGGTTATATTTCTTTATATTAATAAAACTATTTATAAATAAATCTTTTAATTAATTTAATAGTTTATATTTTTTAATTAATTTTAACTATAATAGAATTTATATAATATAAGTTTATAATTAAGTAAATTACTTTAAAATACTTTTATTAAGGTATAATATTTTATATAAGGTAAATTTAATTAAAAAAAGGTAGGTTAATTTATTTAATTTTATATTTAATATTTATAAATACTTAAAATAGTAACTAAAATAACTATAATTAACGCTAATTTATAATCTTTAATTAATTATATTTATAAAGTATAAATTTTACTTTATTCTTTAAAATAATATAAGTTTATATAATATTATACTTATTAATAATTAATTATAAAGTATATTTATTATTTTAATTAACGGTAATTTATAAGGCATTTATATATAAAAAAAGGCTTTTAGTTTAAATAAATAATAAAGCTATATTATTTTATTATTTTATAATTTAAAAGAAAATAAAGCAATTTATACTATAGCTTTAAAGGAAGTATATAATAAAATACTTAATTAATTATAAAATTAATAATTTTATTATATTAATAACCTTATAAAATAATTAATTTATTAAATAAATTTTAAACTACCTTCTTTTTTATAAGTTATTAATTATAAAGCTTAAAGGTTATAAAAGATAATAAATATATTAATTTAAGTATAAAGTTTTATATAAAGTAATAAACCTAGCTAAACTAAATCCTATATTTAAAGGCTAATTAAAAGGACATTATAAAGAAGAGCCCTTAAAAATATAAATAATAACTTATAATTAAAACTTTTTAATAACTAGTATATATGCTTTACTTTATTATAATATATAAACTTTATTATAATAATTTATATTTTTAGGTTAAACTTTGCTAAATACCGATTTAGCTATAAGTTAACGAATGCATAAATGCTGTCACCAGTGTGAAGGCCTCCCTCGGCCATACGTCAACTCGCCTTGAGAGCTGAATCCAGGATATTACGAGGGGTGGAGCGCCTGAAATCATACTACGGGTCGCATGAAGGCTGGGAACTGCTAGGCTATCCCAAAATAGGGGCTTTATTGGGCTCTTAGCAGGGAATCGTTATCAGATGTCGATAGCCGGTTACAGCAAGTCGGCCTAAACTTAGTAATCTTACTCCTCAAAATCTAAACTAAGGGCTTTAGGTAGTTGCGATAGTCCCTATTTGATGCATTGCCGAATATAAACACTCTGTCTTCTACTTCTTCTAGCCAAAGAGTCCCGAATCTTCATTCTTCTTTCACTTATTACCTAAAAAAAACACTTTTAATCTTCCACCCATAGCCTACCATCTCTCACAATGCCGAATAATCTAGTTCACTAAAATAATGACTGTCGTCTTTGAGTTTATTAAAGAGACTGAACTAAAAAACGGTCAGGTGGGAGAGAACATCACCTATATCATAGGGAAACCTACCCTGCGTCCCGTTGAAACTACTCCTTCGGAAGATAATCAAACGTATTTCGTATTACCCGCTGGGCCAAATGGACCACGATGCAACATATGCTAGGGAGCGCTAAACAGTTCGCGCAGTTTGCAAACTTATACGTATAGTGATTGTGGATGCGTAAGTCCTATCTTTCCCACTCCTATCCCTCGTATCGATTAAGCTAACGATATATAGTAGCTTTATTACAATGCCTACGTGCCGGTTAATAAAGTCGGGCGGTGTAACATTGAAAGGCATAAGGATATTAGCTAGCAGAAGTCGATCTGCATTAACGGCCTTTTCGATCCTTATAAGGCCTGCCAAAATCCTTTACAGTTACCTACAAGGCCGCAGAATTATGGTAAGTCAAGTTCTTAAATAGCTAGCGCTAATACAATCTTTAATGTCAGGATAGGACATATATTTTACAAGGAATGCTTGAATTTGCATTGGGACATTAGGTACCGGATATGCTAGTATTGCCGCAAGCAGTCGTGTGAAAAAAAAAAGGGCTGTGGAATTAACTGCTGCCGTCCTGTGCTGTGTGATTGATTGATTGATTGATTGATTCCTACTCGGTTTCAGCCACACTTTCATCCGTGGCTGTGCTTGGTTGACCTGACTAGGTAACCCCGGCCAACGCGACTCGAAAATGGATCCAATGCTGCCCGAAAATTCCATGTCATCACCGCCTACTCAATTCGTCCAATAGCTTCGGGATCGGACACCGCTTGCCTAATCAATCACCACCTCTACAGAACACCGCCTTCTAAATTCGTCACCACCTGCTCCATTGAGGAGTGAAATATGAATCAATCAATCAAACAACTAGCTACGGGTATTCGCCTTAAGAGACATATATTCACTTATGCATTAGTATAGTAACAGAACTACTGTCTATACAAATGGTTGGGGCTATACTTGGAGAGAAGTAAAGGATGAAAAGGTAGAGAGAGATTGAGGTTAAGCTGGTTATGTTTTGAACTTTTAAAACATGGCTAAGTGGGGCGATACAAATCCATTTTTAAGCCGCGTTGGCGGGTCAACCAGCTCTTTCAACCGGGGCATACGTGGGCATGCGGCAGCGGCGGATACCCAAGACTATGCAAGGCGGCCCAACGGTCTTGATCAACATATTTCCATCGCAACCACGAGCCCCTACTACAGCCCAGTGCTTTGTGGCCAATTACGTGGAAACCTCTATACCGCAGATGCAAACATTTCTGCCGCAACAGACTACGGGAAGCTCCCGGAGGTGCTACAAAACTTGGTGACATGGACGGGTTCTGCGGCCTGGGCCCTCATGCCCAACACAGATAGGCAAGTTGGTGGTGCTTGCAACCTCATTGGGGTAATCTGAAATAAATTTATTCCTCAATATACCATGCTTCACTATAGTATATTATAAAGGAAGGGAATAAGGCTAATAAATATAATAAGATCTTGCTAGGTTAAGTAATTAAACAGTATTAACTTTTTAATATCTTAATACTTATAAGCTTTAATTAGCTTAATTGTAAAATGTATACTAAACGCTTTCGTTTACTTAAATTATATAATATATATTTAAAGCATTATTTAGCCCATCGAGTCCTTTGTTTAAAACCTGGATTACTTTTCCAAGCTTGACTACTGCTATCTATAACGAACCTCCTCGATTAAGGCTTTATAGCGCACAATATTTATAGCTCTTTAGAACCTCCTATAGGTTCCCGCTATACTATATGCTAGCTTTCATTTGCTACTAGGCATAGGGGACCCCAGCCTATCGCACAAAAACTGGGTTTCAGATTATGCAGAAGTCGCTTAAGAACAATTAGCAATATCCTATAATTTATCCTAGGAGGAATTATAGCAGCTTTTTAACGCTAAGGATGCTTTAAATAAAGTCCTCCTATTTAAAATGGTTTATCCTTTTAATAATATTAAAGAAAACCTATAAAGTAAAGGGAATAATGCTAAAACCTTTTATATATATATAGCCCTCCCCGTCCAACTTGCCTTTTAATAAATTATTATATAAAGGTCTGAAGTTGGGCTACTTAGTTCCACTAATTATCCCTAGATGGCTGACTTTACTTGGTCATATACGGCTTAATGCATATTGGTTAGCGAATTGAAACGGCATGGCACTATTAATCGACCGAGATAGACTGGCGAACAAGGTGTGAACAGCAACCGCATATGGCTTAGGAAGGAGCTGAGAGGGCAAGTTCCAAAATTTCTCCCGCTCAACCTCTAATGAGACTAATTGGTTGATAGTTATTGCCATAGGTATAAAAGTGCTGTCACAGTTGTATTTAACGGGAAGCATTTCTTAATTCTAATATTTCTTATATATAGCCAAAAGGCGGTACACAACGTAAACTGCTAAGTTCAAGGTTTAATTTTTAAATATATAGATGTTTCCTTACAATATGCTCTATACCGCACAGCTTTGCAGCAACTCCGTAGGTATTAGGCTTAAGCAGCACTAAAGGTAAACATAGATAGATATACGTGCCATTTTCAATGGTGGTTAGGCGCTCCATATTAGATTAATGCAAACGGTTAATATTCTTTTAATTACCTTAACGGCTATATATAATCCTTTAACCCTATAATTAATATATAGTATTAGGAGACTTATAATAGAAATATATAGGATATATTAAGCCTTTAATAATATGTATACAGAATTATAGTTGGGTTAAATTACCTTATATTACTAATCTGGCTGGCTGTATAAGCTCAGTTACTGTACTATGTAGACTGGTTTTCTAAGTAGCCTATAAATTTATAACTGTTCCTTAAAACTCTTCTACTAGATGGTAAATTTCCTTTAGTTTATATATGTTAAGTTTAATTACGCTATAGATCTTAAAAGTAAATAAAGTATAAAGGTATTATATACCCTTAAATATATGTTATTATTTTAACTTTAATTTTAACGTTTAGGAAATTTAGTTGGGTATATGCCTTATTAGAGCGCATGTTAAACGTATTTATAATAATAGGTACATCTTCCGTTTAAAGCTTCCTGCTACCCCAATCACCAATTGGTTCATATCCTGGGTACCTTAATTTGTTCAGTTTTAACTAAGATATATATTTCCCAAATGGTTTATTCTATCCATCGTGATTTTAAAAAAGAAGCATCCCCTAAAGCCTAATAAATATTAAAATAAAATTAAGATATATAAACGGCTTCAATCTTTATAGGGCAACATCATCCTATACTATTATAAAAAAGTTATTAACAATAACCACACTCCAGCTATTCTTCTTGAGTTTATTAAGGGCACACCGTTGCATCAATTTCTTAAAGAGGATCTTCTTAGCCCGCATATTCTTATAGCATATCGTCACAATATAACGCTACATAAGCTTTCAGACGACAACATCCCTAACCCGCAACTGTTACTGGCATTACGGCATATGTACCATCAATTCACACAACATGGTATTATGCACGGTAATCCCAAATTGCACAACTTCATTCGCACCGAGCATGGCGTTATGGCTATTAACCTTGAATTTTCACATCTTCTGCCCAACGATATCACAAATAAGCACGAACTAGCTAGTCTGATTGACGAGATTGGAGCTGTGATTAATGTCACATCGCTTGTACAAGCCAAGTCGCACCTTTTCCAGACCTCTATGCCTATGATGGGAGGCAGGTCTAGGCTGACGGATGACAATCATGAGTAGTAGGCGTCGTTGATCATTGCCGACGCCTGCAGACAGCTAGCTGTCTTGATGCAATCGCACTCTGCCCCCTCCTATATAATCGAATTGAAATACTCCCATATGACATATATCTAGAGTACCAATACAACACACAACTACTCTTGCGGCATAATAGTCTACCTGTAATCAGTCAGTTACCTACGCCCAGTATCAAAGGGCATAGCAGCTGCAACTCGCAACCTCCTCTTTAGCTTCGTTCCCGGTTCGGGCATGAAAGCATCGTCTCGGGAAGAGACCTGGGAGCTTGGCTGAATAGGGCTCGAGGACGAACACCTAGATAACCCGGCGCCCACTCCCCCCCGGACCCTCTTTCCGATTACCCCGCTACCCCGCCAAAGCCTCGCGCTAAGCAGCGGCCACTGGTTAGCTCAGGACTCTATTTCCTACTGAATTATAAAGCAAGAGAAAGAGAGAACGCGTGGTCAACCTTTCAGCATATCGTACTCTACAGCTATACGACGAAAAGTCTATCTTTCGTGGAAGCCGATATTTTCTAGGGGGAATTATTCGTAATTGCGGAAAAGAAGTAAGATCCAAAATGTTATTAATAACTATGCTCCTATAAGTCATAGGTTCTAGCACCTAAACTTAATTAATATTTTAAAAGATTTATTAAAAGGATATATATTTTTAAATAATCTCATTACTGTTAAAGTATTCCTTAATTTATTTAATAATTTAAAGCTAAAAGTTAATTAAAAAATAGTATTAAAAGTAATATAAGTTTCTTTTAATATAAATAAAAGTAATAAACCTATTAAAAAGCTTATAAGTTTATTTAAAAAATATATACTTTACTTTATATTCTTTAATTAATATATTTAATATTAATAAAAAACTTAAGCTTTATTATAATAAAAAGTATTTAAATTTTATAATATTTTATAATTAAAGCTATTATTAAGTATATAAGGCCCTTATATACTTATAGTTTAATTTTTTTATTATAACTTATAATAAAGGTTTTAAAATTTATTTAATTATTTAAAATATAATATATTAATTAATATATTTATTTAAAAAATATATAAAGGGATTATTAACTTATTAAATAATAATTCTTAAGTTATTAAAATAATAATTAATTACTTTTATTACTTTAAATATAATATATAATTAATTAAAGAGTTTTTTTAAATTTCCTTTAAAGCTATATATATTAATTTTAATAAAACCTTATAAATACCTTTTAGCTTTATTCTTTATATTATAATTTATACCTTTATTAAAAAATATAATATCTTTAACTTAAAGGATTTTATACTTTAAAAGTTTAAAGTAATAATTATTAAATATTAAATTATTATTAAATATTTAATTATACTTAACTTTTTAAAAGCTATAAAAAAGGTATATATATTTATAATTAAGGTTAATTAAGGGTTAAAGAATATTATAATAATTACTTTTTATAAATATTTTAAATTATTTAATTAAAAGGAAATAAAGTATATATTAAAAAAATTAAATATATTAATTTATAATTTATTTATATATAAATATATTAATTAAAGCTTCTTTTATTAATTAAATTTTACTTAAGAAGAAAATTATATTTTAAGATTTAATATTTTAAAAAAATAAAACATTTAAATTATAATTAAATAAAAAGGTTATTTAATAATATTATAAATATATAATATTAAAGGTTTTTATAAGGTTATTATTTAATATATAATATTTATTATATAATTAATTATATAATTATATTTATACCTTTTATTTTAATAATTTTCTTATTTTATTTTTAAATTAGGAATATAAAAAATAGTTAATTTAATTAAAAAAAAAAAAAAAACCCTTATTCCTTTAATTAAGCTTTATAAAGGGATTTATATAATATATATATATTATAAGGTTATATATTAATATATTTAACTTTTTTAAAATAAGCTATATCTTTTCTTTATTAAATAATATAAGGTATTTATATAAAATAATTATAATAATATCCCTTAACCCTTAATTTATTTTTATTATAAAAGTATATATATTTTTTATTACTTTTAAAAGGTTATTAAAGTTTTAATATTATATAATTATTTATTTAAACTTTTAAACTATAAGACTTTTAAGTTTATAAATAAAGTATTTTTTAATTAAATTATATATTAATATATAAAAAGTTAAATTTATTAAAGTAATTTATAAGTTTAAATTAAATAAGGAAAAGTTTATTATTATTTTATTAAAGGTATAATTTATAAATAGCTTTTTAATAAATAAGTTTTTAATAATATTTATAATAAACTTTAAAGAGAATATATAAATATTATTATTTTAATTAATTTACTCTTTAAAAGGAATATATTAAAAAGCATTATAATTAATATAATAAAAATAATATATTATTATTTTAATAATATTAAGATTATTATTTAAAAAGTTAACCATTTATTTATATTTATTTTAAATAAAAAGTTAATATATATCTTATTAATTCTTATATTTTTTATTAATTATAAAACTTTAATAAATTATAATAAAGAAGTTTAATTATAAATAAATAATAGCTTTATATATTTTATATTTTCTTTTATTATAAAAGATAATAAAATTAAAATATTACTTATTAAAATAAAGCTTAATAATAAAAGCTTAATTAATAATATAACTTTTAAAATAAAATAAAGAAGTAAGTAAAATTAAATACCCTTTTTATAATTTTTTTAATTTTTTAAATATTATAAAATTAAATTTATATAATATAAATTTAATCTTTATATTTATTACTTTAATAAATATAATATAAATTATTAAATTAATTAAAAAAGTTAAAAGAATTATTTAATAAAATAATATAAGTTAATAATAAAGTAATAAGTTTTAATAAAAGTAAAATAAATTAATTTATAATTTAATAATTAATATATTACTTTTAATAATAGTTTTATTATAATGCTTCTTTAATATATATATAATAAAAAGCTATTAAATTAATTGCTTTTAAGTACTTTAAAGTATAGCTACTTTAAATTAAACGTTATATTATAGCTATTTAATAATTAAAAAAAATATTAAAATATTAAAACTTTAATTTATTAAGTTTATATAAAGTAATATAATAATATTATACTTAAAAACATTATTATTAATAAGGTTATTATTATTATTTAAATATACTTTAACTATAATTATTAATTATAAATATTTAATTTAAATTCTTTATAAGTTATTTAAAAACTTAAAACTATATATTAATAAATTAAATATATATATAAAAGAAATAACTTACTTTTTATTTATATTATTATTTATTATTTATATTTTATACCTTAAGTAGTTAAGATTTAATAGGAGGAGCTTATAGGGTAGGTATATCCTCTTCCTTAATATTAATTATTATATATAACTAAGACTACTTAATAGGGTTACTATAATGCGGTGGGCTATTATGCGCTTATATAGGTATAGATTTAATCCTATTAGAAGAATAGTAGGTAACGTAGACTTGGAGTTTAAATAAGCTATATTAAAGCTTAATAATTACGGGTATAAAGCTAACCGGTTATATATTTCCCTTATTATAAATATAAGTTAAACCTTAAACCTTTAAATTTAAAAAGAATTATAAATAAATTTAACTTTACTTAAAGACTTTTAAAGAATAATCTTTATTATATTTATATAAATTTTTAATTATTACTTTTTAAATTATTATTTATTTATATCTTTTTATTATAATTATTATATTTATTAAAAGTATTATAAGTTTTTATAATAACTCTTTATATTATTAAGCTTAATATAATTATTTATTTTTAAAATGTTATTAAATAATTATAAGCCTTTAAATTAAGGTAAAAAAACTATAATAGTTAATATTAGCTTTATAGAAACCTAATAGGAGTTTAGACTTAAACTTTTTAAACTCTATTAAAAAAAGTCTATATTAAGCTATTTTATCCAATTTAAGTTAATCAACTATTATTTTAATTAAGGTAATAGGGCTTTTATAGGTTTTTTTTATTATAGGTTAAAAGATTCCGTTAAGGATATTATTTATTTATAAAACTAATTAGTTATATTAAAAGAATATATTATTATAACGGTTTATATTAATAATAAACTATATAAATAATATTAATAAAAGCGGGCTTTAAAGTAAATATATAATAAAAAGGGATATTATTTTAATAATATTAAATAAAATTATATTATAAATAATTAAGCCCTTTAAATTAATAAAATAAACCTTTTAAATATATAGCTATTAATTAATTATATTATATTATAATATAATTTTTAATTTATATTTATATCCTTAAAAAAATATCCTTTTATATAAAAGTTTATTATAGTAATTATTTTTATTAATACTTTTAATTAAGATATTAATAATATTATAAAAGAATTATACTTTTTAAATTAAATTATTTAAATATTAAAGGATTTTTAAGTATAGCTTAAGTTATAATTAAACTATTATAAAGAAGTAAGTTTAATATTTTACTTTATATTTTCTTTCCTTTACCTTTTATTTAATTAATTAACTATATTATATTATAATAATATTTTATATTTATATTTATATTTTAATAATATATTTTAATATAAAAGATTTATTATAATAAGTATAATAGTAAAGGTAAATTAAAATAAAAGAAATAAATTATTTTAATAAATATATTAACCTTTTAATATTTAATAAAGTATAAAGGATAAAGTATATAATAAAATAAATTATTAATATATACTTTAATATTATTAAGTTTTAATTAATACTTTAAATTATTATAATAGTTTATATTAATTATTAAAATTAATAATTTTATTATAACTCTTTAAATAAAAAGTTTATATATATTTTTTATATATATATATATAAATAAATTAATTAATATAATATATATTACTTTTTATTAATATATTAAGGTATTTTTTAACTTTTATTATTAAAGAAATATTAATTACTTTATTATATAAAACATTAAATAAATTTAAAGGAATATATTTTTATATATTATTTTTAAGTTTAATATAAATTAAATATAATATTTATATATTTTTATTTTTAAAGGTTAAATATATTAATATTATTATTAAATAAAAATAATAATTAAAGTATTAACTTTAGCTTTAATTCCTTATAATAGTTTATAATATTAATTTATTATAGTTATTTAATATTTAAAGTTATTAATTTAAAGGTAGGTATAATATTTATTATTATATATATAAGAAGAGTAATTTTATTACTTTTATTTTCTTTATTATAATCTTTTCCCTTTTTTAAATAACTTTACTTTTTAATTTTAATATTATTAAAAAACTTTAATTCCCTTTTTTTCTTTTTCTTTTTCTTTTTCTTCTTTTTTTTTAATCTTTCCTTTAATATATTTTAAAACTTAATATTAAAATCCTTATATTTAAATATAAATTTAAAAATAATTATTAAATTAAATTTAGAATTAATTATTAGCTTAATTTTAATATAAATAATAATGGATTTATTATAATAATTATAGTTTATATTTATATTATTAAAGTTTAAATTAA